AATATTAAGTCACATGTGTCGTCGAGTTTGTACCGATGAGGCGACAGAACTTGCTATCTCGCTGTTTGAAGCTTCAACTTTTTTTTCTTCAATGAATGGAAAATTCCGTTGCACCGACGTATCAAGTGGCTTTTACAAAACAGTCCTTGATTGACGCAGTTGCACTCGTAATGATAATTACGAAAGAGAACTTGGTTGAAGTAATTTCTGAAATTGATGCACACTTGTATTCCCTTTTTTTTTCTTAACTGTTCTCTTTGTTTGGTGGGTACAATGGGCCAAGAAATTAACGGCTGTTCCGCGTATGGATGTAGTGTACAAAGAAGTTGACGTTCAATTGTACTAGCCGTGGCTAGTGGCGAGAAATGTTTTTTTTTATTACGCGACTTCAATTTTCCGACAAATACTTAAGAGGAACGAGTTTACGGATCTATTTTAACGCCGGGTTCTGCATTGATAAATGTTGATAATTTTTTTGATAATATTTGCTTTAAATTTTTGTTATTTTTCTCTTTCGTTTCTGTGTTTATTGCGCTCGGAATATGTTGTGAACGGTGGCGATAAGACGCAGATTACTTGAAGTGAGATGAGCACAGCTCGATTTCAAAAATTTATTTTACTGATTTTTTTATCGATTTTATATTGTAGTATATCTCATGAGAGTGACATTGAATCGAATTTAGGGATAAAATGGTTATGAAATTGAAAATTTTAAGTAAAATTCAGGGAAATTTATGAGGAACAAAAAATGATCTGAATTGATTGAATGGCTTAAAAAATTTATTTGGATGCCCCTTTGACCGAGTTCGAAGATGAAGACGATACCAATAACCGTTATTTCGTTTCATTCGAAAATTTTCAAAAACTTTGTATTTCTTGAAAATCAGAATTCCGGTGATATCTTTGCATTATACATGACAGAAGGAAATTAGCAAAAATAACTATACTATATACAATACAGGAGCGATTTCCCACTTGTTTAAAGCCGTACAAAATTTTCCAAAAAATTCACCGTATTCGGAATTTGCCAATCCCTCACGAATTAGTTTTTTAAGATCATCCCAAGAACCGTGGTCTCATAAATGCATTTTTTCCAATACCTAGGGCCTACTATAAAAATTATCCATAAAAAACGTGGTGACAATCTCGAGACAAACGTTACGTGTTTTCACGGGATACACCTTTAAAAAATCCGCTGCTCACTCGCGTAATTACGCGTCTTATCTCCATCTCTCCGCAGCTTCAAAAGCCAGATAAGAGCCTCCGCGCGAAGTGAAAAAAAAAAAAACCCCTGCAAAAAGTATTACAAGGTATTATATCCCCGAGGTAAAGCGAGCGCGAGTACACACCGTATTCGCATGTATTATCAGTTGGTGTCACCACCGTTGGTGTCCGTGGGCGTGTTGCACGAGTGTATTTCAAGCGATCTCACGTGACACATCGGTGCTCTCCTCGCGGCGGTTCCCAACCGGTGAGTTTACCCCATTGAAGTAGCCTCTCGCAAAGTGGCTTGTCCCCGAAGGCCGCGGAGCGCCCGTATTCCGAACAAGTCAAGAAAAACCCAACCGAAACCGATCTCCATCGACGGCACCGCCACCTGGCAGCTATTCCCCTCGATTTCTCGTGTTTTACCGTCCCACTCTCTCCGTCTCTATCCACCGCGTCGATTCACGCATCCCAACTTCAACACTCGACTCGTGTTAACGTCTTGTTGACCCACACGAATCGAATGCGAAGACTATTTTACGAGCAACAACTCGAATCAAACGACGAATGAATTTCCCAGTGTCATCGGTTGTTCATTCATTTCCACCAGTTCAGCTGCTCCGTTTTCAAGTCAATGTGACGAGTGTTTGTAATGTTATTCAACCGAGATTGAACTGATATCACGTGTGCAGATCGCCACCCATCGCCAATTGTTAAATTGCGTAACGACTGAAAATGTTTAAACGGAAGCGGAAGAGTGGCCATACGAGTGCACCGGTTGCAATCATACCGAAGACAATTGGATTATTTCGTTGACTATTCTTTATTGATTTTTTTTACTCGTTCATTTGCTCCACTCTCTAACGGTTGTGAAATGTTTCAAGTGTTTATGCTCCAAGTGTTGTGCTCCCATTTTTACCCCAAAGAATAAAGGAAAATAGAGGAGTCGGCGGAGCCCCATGACCGGTCACTCTTCCGTGAAGCCTCCGCTCTTCCTTCCCCCACCGTCGACACATCCTTGGAGCTGCCGTTCCGGTCGCTAAGATGCCGAAAAAAAATGTTTAATGACTTGGACTCTGTGTCGGTCAGATCCCACGCACTCCTATTGGCTGAGCCTATTGACTCTCGTGTGTCTGTCATCGATAGTTGATAATCTCTGCGCTTCAATCGATACTTGGGCGCTGAAATTTTTTTTTTAATGTCCTCAACTTTCATTTTTTAATCCACACGGGAGGAAGAAGACGCGTGGGCGCTCGAGCGAGTTTTGTCCCGACGTATGTATTGGGGATTGTAACACACGCTTCTCGGCCGGGGAGGTTAGAGACTTTCTAAGCGGTGGCATGACGTGCCAGTGAGTTGTGCGTGCCTTGAACAACCGTGTTCCGGTTACTTCTTCATTATTTTAATATTCGGGCGACGTGAACGCGGAGAAACATTGTGACTCAAGTGACAAATTTCAGTTGAACATTATCAAAATGGTTGGATAAAGTTACTTGTGATGCAGTGAACAAGTGATGTTGGAAGGTTATATCTACATTTGAAAAATGTCATTCAATTGATGAATTATCATGCATTGCTTCACGGTCCTTCAAACTCAATTAATCTTAGGGGGGGGGGGCAATAGGACACCTGATAAATCCGCATAGGATGGACTGAAATGCACTGTTAAAAATTAGTTTTCAATTTTTCCCTGAATTTTCCTGATTTTTCACAAAATAATTGAACTGAAAAATCAATTATGTTATTGATTTCCCGATCATTTCAACAGGAAATCAATGGAATATTTGATTTTTTAATGACAAGATTTCCTGAAATTTCTCGGCATTTGGCACGGAAAATTCAGACGGAAATTTTTAAGTGTGGACGCTCAAAAAATTTTTGACAGTCGAATTTAAAAAAATTCATTCTTGACAAAGTCCACAGTCGACAAAAGTCAAAAATGAGTTTCTTTTCAATTTGAAAATCGCAGTCATGACTAGTGTTTCAGAAATTGAATAACATTGTTGAAACATAAAAAAATTGAGGAAGAAATTGAAGTGTCTATTTTACCCCCTTTTTGTTTTACCTTGTAACTCCCACTTCAAATGAAGTCGAAACAGTAGATTTGCTCCAATTGAACTGATTATTTAAATCTGGTGTCCGTACCCCCCCCCCTCTTCCCTATATGTTTTAATCGTGAGTCATATTCCAACTATTTTTTTTTCTCACTGGCAACACCGTGAATCCTCGATAGTGAGTCACACGTTGTATCGCCTCTTTACACATCTCTTCCGTCTACCTCTCTCCCCTCCCTCACTCAACTGCACTGTGTCCCTCTCACTCTGCACTCCTCGGTTCGTTCAACAAGCTGAGACTGACTGTCTCGAATTTCTACCTCCACTCGCGATAGATCACTACAGCGTGACCGGAAGTTGAGGGAGGTGTGGTTTGCTTGTTAAAAAAAAAATAAGAATTTTATATCTGATGGGTGGGGAAACATGTGGAACACTTGAGCCTAAAGAAACAATAGGAATATCAGTAGTATAGATCATATCGAGATTCGAATTTTTTCCTCGAGTAGGGGGAGATATTAGGCATCGCTATCGTTTATCAGTATCAGTTGATAACGCGAGGCAGCTCCACAATAAGAGTCTAACAGTTGGTGTGTAGCAGAACGTTTCTCTATTATACTCAAAAATAACTCTCGTTTCTTTTTTAATACAACAGTGAAGTGGTCCGAAAAAAATAAGGTTGATTATTTTTTTGTAAATCCTAAACGTCTAGTCTCATCAACTCCAGAAATACATTTACAAAGTAGCATGTGTCAAGTTTTGGATTAAAGTCGCTCTACCCCTACGGTAAATTCAAAGATTATTGAAAGCCAGAAAACGCGATTAGATGCGGAATCCTAATTTTTTTTCTCAATTTAATGATGGTTTTGGTTTTTTAAAGAAGAAAATGTTAAAAATTAGGATTTAACCTAGCGCCTTATGTGAAAATCAAAATTTCCATTGTAATCAAAAATTAAAATCTGAATTGTTTTTCATTAGATGTGAAAAAATCAAGAAATTTTTTGACACCTCGTAAAAAATGATCCACCATTTTGCAAACAAGTTCTATTATTTACTTGAAAGAAGATGTTTAGATAATACTAACTGGGTATGAATTTTTTGAAAATCTTCTCATGCAATTTAATTGAAAAATTCGAAAACTGGAAATATCTGAAAGTACAGCGTAGCCCCGCCAAAGAGTAGAGCTACTTTAATTGAGCATGAATTTTTCACGAATTTTCCATCGTTATTTAAACCCATTAAAATACACTGTTAGAATTTTTTTGAATTTTCATGGAAGATAATATAGCAAATCTCATGAGGGTTACGTTGAATCGAACTCAGGGAAAAAATGTTTATGAAATTTCAAGTTTTAAGCACAATTCAGCACCATTCTTGAAACAATCAGCACCAATTTTGCATCACTCCACTGTAGAATTAATTGCATTGTTTTTAAAACTCTCCAATCATTCGCTTGCTTAACCGGGGGAATAATGGGTTTATCAGTGTCTAAAAAATTCCAAAACTACTATGGGTCACAAACAACAACTGCACCTCACAAAAAAAAAATTAAACGCCGCTTTTTATACATCATCAAAATTCATTGAGCAAAGAAAAAAAAACTGGCTTTATCGTGGCTTCTCGCAGCTTGTCATCGCCCCTGAAAGTCTCCAGATTGATGGATCGTGAGCATTGTCCATGAAATTGTCATCACAAGTGTATGAAAAATAAGGAATACTTCTTTACATATTTACTTTCCTCCAGAATTGCGTGTGAAGCGTCGACATTGTATTGGATTGAATACTCTAAAAACTCTGGCTAAGCCTGTGGAGGAGCTACGGTTTTAATATCACGTCATGGCCGATCGTGACAGTCACGTGGTGGAGTCACGTGGTATTGGTAATGTACAAAGTGGACGTAACTCGTTTGGTCCAATAAGGAGAACCCTCCTGACAGTGGCACCAAGGGCAAGTCAGGTGCACGAGAATAACAGGGCTGGTTCACCGGCATTGGAGAGTTTGAAGCAGTGGGAATTGGTGGAGGGTGATCGTGGCCTGCGGGTTGTTGAGAAAAAAAATAATGCTACAACTGTACCGATAAAAAGTACCAAGAGTTACGCAGCACCAGTGCCGCCAGTGAGAACAATAATTAATGAGGAATTGGCTCGTAAATTCAAGGCATTTGAGAAATCAAGCATTGTGCAGGTGATACCGCCGTCAAAAATGAACGATCAGGTGGACAGTAAAGTGCCCATAAGCTTGAATGCTATATTAAAGCAAACCGACGAGCCCAGGGGGGTGGACAAAAGTATTGATGTACTTGACAAACTTGAGAGACAGGTGAAGGCTATTGAGATGAACACAATTGCCAATAAATCCCCGGGGATACTTCAGGACAGCTGCGATTTACAACCGGAAATACAGCTTCGATACAGGGAACACGAGGACCTGTTGAACAACGTCACCGACGACGAGGCTGAGGGGTAAATTTTCATTTCATTTGGGGGAGGCTGGGGCAATAGGGATTTTTTAAAAATTTACTTTCAGAAAATTGTTTCATCGGGTAACATCTGATAAATCCGTGTATGATCGGCTAAAATGGACGCTCAGAATTTTTTTTTTCAATAATCGAATTTTTAGAAATTGCCTCTTGGCAAAGTCCACAACCGTAAAATTATTCAAGAGTGGGGTAAAATGGACACCCGAAAAAGTTGGTCCTAATCAACTTTTAATCAATAAATTGTTTTTCTCCCTCATTTAATTGGTTTCATTTGCAGTGATTTAAAACATTGGATGAATAAATGAAACATTGTGTCCATATTGCCCCACCCTCACCTATCTTTTATATTATTTTTCCCATTAATCCACTGTATTAAAAAAAATGAGAAAAAACATCTAATGTAATTGGTGAAACCCAAATAAAAGGGCAATGCCATTGCAACGAGGAGAGCCAACAAGAAATTCCACTGGGACTGCCGGTATTGTCACTAGGAGACAGCCGGTTAAATTAGCTAGAACAGCATCTGATACGAGAAGATGCCAAGATACGGAAATGCCACTGCGTGTGTCCAGGGCTCAACAGTCACGTGGTATCAGGCCAGTTGTGACGAAGAGAGAGGATCGACAACAGCAGGTACGCGAAACTGGGGGTATCAGACCTATCACTGACATCATGCCGAAGGTTACACAAGCTGGTCCTCAGAAGGTATCCTAAAAGTCAAATCATCAATGCATTTTCGTATAAAAAAAAACAACAAATTGATCACCATTAAAAGAGTGAACCCAGTTTGCCGCAAAAATAATTCTACGTCATATTCGATTGTTTGTCACAACTACATCTCCACCTACATCGACGAATTCATACCTAGGAAAATATGCAGACGAATATTGTATACAATTTAATGCCTCTGCACTGTTAGAATTTTTTTTCGAAATTTCATGGATAATGTGGTAGTAATTCTCATGAGAGTGACATTGAATCCGATGTAGAAATATTGAGAAACAAAATGACATGAATTTTTAAATTTTCCCTGAATTTCCCGCATTTTCACGGAATAATTTAACTGAAAAATCGAGTATTTTATTGATTTTTACATTATTTGCACAGAAAATCAATGGAATATTTCATTTCTCAATGGCAAGATATCCTGAAATTTCAGTGTAAATTAAGAAAATTTTTTAACAATCCGTGGCAGGGAGGGGGGGGTAATAGAATGGCCTCATGCACCCCTTCACATATATGCCCATTCGAGGAAGGTATCCTAAAAAGTCAAATCATCAATGCATTTTCCTACAAAAAAAAAGCAAATTCACCACGACTAAAAGAGTGAAATCGATTTGCTGCAAATCAATTCTACGTCATATGCGATTGTTTGTCGTCATCATAGTGACGTTATCTATAAATCGTTGAGTTTTGCTAGTTCTACATAGAGGGTGGTCAGGCGAGCAACCGAATCAGCTGACCTCCCTCAAACTTCCCAACCGAGGCAAACACACCTACACACCCATACAAATTGCCGTTACATCACAACTACATCTCCACCTACGTCGACGAATGCATACCTAGGAAAATCCACAGACGAATATTGTACACAATTTAATGCCTCGGCACTGTCAGAAAAATGGTTCTGAAATTTCAAGTTTTAGGTAGAATTCGACGAAATTCACGAGTCTTCAGTGAAAAGTTCGCAACTTCATTGAATTTTCAATGGAATATAAATATTCAGAAACAAAATAACATAAATTTTCAAATTTCCCCTGAATTTTTCAGATTTTTCGAATTTTCACGAATCAATTGAATTGAAAAATCGAGTATTTTATTGATTTTCAGATCATTCGAACAGAAAATCAATAGAATTTTGCATTTTTCAATGACAAGATATCCTGAAATTTCAGTGGAAATTAAACACGATCAAAATATTTGGCATTTGAAACGCAAAATTTAAACAAAAAAATTTAACAATCCGGAGGTGGGGGGTAACAGAACGGCCTCATGCACCCCCTCACGTAGATGCCCATTCGAGGAAGGTATGTGAATTCGTAAGGCGCATGCGTTTCGATGGGGATGGTAAAAGGGAACACCAGTGGTGTATGTTGAAATCCAAGGGTGGCTGGCTCCGCGCATCAGTTTGCCATGCTGACGGGAGTGGCGTCACGTATTGATTCTCCTCCTTTCCATCCCCCGTGTATTTTTTCTTCTCCATCAGACAGTAGTGCTTCAGTCGTTTCACTGTTTTTCACTTTGATTTTCCACCCCAAATACCTTATATTATCACGGAAACAGTTACCTCCAAGGGTTGATCCTCGAATTTTGTGGATTTTATGAGAACTGTTTGAAAAGTTTGGACTGTGTGAGACAGAGATTGAGAATCCGCCGATGGATTCATTGGAAAGTTTATCCAAGTGTCAATGACAATGTTTGTGAATGAGCGACGATGATGCGTGAAGAACAAGAGCGTGCATTGTCATCAGTATCGAGTGAGAAGAGACGTAGTCAGAAGGTGAACCCTTCGTGGAGGCGTGTTGTTGTCAAGCGACGTCCTACAGTCAATGGGGACACACGGAAATTGATTAATTGTTTTTCGTTAATTTTTCCAAACTCCCTCCAATGGCCTGATACTTTTCAGAAAGATCTCAGTGTTTGATGATCGAATCTATGGCACCGAATTCTCTATTTTCGTGAGATTTCTTTTGCTCTTTAATTTCTTTTTTTGTTTTTTTTTTTCGGGGACTTGGGCATTGGCATTCACCTCGGCATGATCGATTGACGTTTCCTTTATCGCTGGGATGGAAAAATTTGAGGAATTACACCCGAACGTCTCTCGTTGATCTGTTGTTCTCCGAGAATTCAAGATCATGCCTCGACATTTGGGGATTAGTTGTTGAATGCTAGAGGATTTTTTTAGTGTAATTGCATTTGAGTTTTGGGGTACTTTGAAATAAGACAAAATTGCGCGAAGTAAGGACAAACTGGCGGCTACTAAGGTCGCTGTGGCCCCTCGCACCATGGTCACCCGTGGACAACGGGTAATGAAATTATAAATAAAACAAAAATGAAATGATTGGACGTGTTTGTTGTGGTATTTTGGATATTGGGGGATATCCCTCGGAATTATGAATTATCGGCTCAGTATTCAATTTATTGCCCAGCCTTGGCGCTGACGCTGTTCCATTCAAAACAGTTGGTTTAGTGTAGTTTATTTTAACAAGTCTCAATTAATCCTATTGACAATAATACTATGGCATGTACATAGTCGTACAGACGTTGTACGGACATTCCGGTTGATGTGAGAATATTTTATCGGTTTGTTTCGTGAGAATTGATGGTATTTCTGCGATGCTATTTCCAATTATGGTGGCAGGATGACGTATCCAATGTAAAAGTGAAATAATGAGGAGAAAACGCTGGGAACTTAGGGGAGCTATGGCATGGTAGAAGGAGATGAGTCCAAAATTGATTTTACGTGTGAAAAATTCCATTGTAGAGAAATTTAATGGTTTCTTTAATTTTTTAATTTAATTTTATTCACTGCCAAATGATATCATGTATCAAAAAACAGTGAATAAAATTAAATTTATGGGGTTTCTATAGGCTTTCTACTGCAATTCTATTGAAAAATTCTATTTTTTTTACGCTAATTCTATTGGATAATCGTTAAGAAAAAGTCAGTAGATTTCGATTTTCTGTATTTTGTCCTGAATTTTGTTTTGTTTCGCATTACAGGATTCGAATGGAAATTCCTATAGAGTTCCAATAGAATTTTCTGCTGAATTCGCTAGGTTTTCTATTGAATTTTTTCATGCCTTTTATAGACTATTTTTTCCTGCGGGAAATTCCATCAACTCCAAAAAAAATCGACTGATTTTTCTCTCTAAACCTAAGACATCTAGGGATAGTTGCTGCCTAATCAGCGTAAACTTTTAGACAAATCGAATATAAATGAGTTCCACAATTTATCCGATGACTGTCGTTAAAAAGATGGTTAGAGAAATCCATCGAGAGATCTCTTGCGTAGCCCGGAAAATGTTCTGGCCAATATTTTTTGGATTTTCTCTTTTTATCAAATTTGATTGATGTTGTTGCCTGATTTTTATTCATCGCTAATGGCATTCATTATATCAATGCAGGTCGGAGATGGCGTGGGAGTGTCGAGCAGCGGCGGTCGGCTATCATCGAGAAGCCGAACCTCCGACGAGCCCCACATCGGCAAGTACAAGTTACTAAAAACTATTGGCAAAGGTAACTTCGCTAAGGTTAAACTTGCCAAGCATGTACCAACCGGCAAGGAAGTGGCTATCAAGATCATTGACAAGACCCAGCTGAATCCAGGCAGTCTTCAAAAGGTTAGCACAACTTGAATTTAATTGGGGAATTGGTGAGAGGTGGGAGCATAATCTGGTGTACAAAAAATCATTGAAACTTCGAGAAGACCAATTACAACTTCTTAAAGCGTTCTTGAAGTTATTCAAGCCATCATATCCCCATTTAGGTGATTCTTTAATTTCCCTTATTTTTCGCGCTCTCTCTCCACGTAAAACGACCGTTAAGATTTCCATTGATCATTTTTGTGACACGAAATGCCGTCACTTTATTTCCGACCAAAAATACTCTCTTAATTTCGGATGAATGAGGAAATTAAAGTGTAAATTTATGTTTCAACTTTACGTTTCGGTGGGAAATAGTCGAATAAATATTTGTCAATGTTTGTTGACACAATCTTCGATTTGTTTCCGTGAAATTTTGTTACCAGGAGAATGCAAGTTGGCTCCTTTGACAATTATTCCCTAACAGAAATTTCTGTGTTATACATTCAGCTCTTCCGTGAAGTAAGGATAATGAAGATGTTGGATCATCCCAATATAGTTAAACTGTTCCAAGTAATCGAGACTGAAAAGACATTGTACCTGGTGATGGAGTATGCTAGTGGTGGTGAAGTATTCGATTACTTGGTGTTGCATGGTAGAATGAAGGAGAAAGAGGCTAGAGCAAAATTCAGGCAAATTGTATCAGCCGTACAGTACTGCCATCAGAAGAAAATCATTCACAGGGATTTAAAAGCTGAAAATTTATTATTAGACAGTGAAATGAATATTAAAATTGCTGATTTTGGATTCAGCAATGAATTCACACCTGGCAACAAATTAGATACATTCTGTGGCTCGCCACCTTATGCGGCACCTGAATTATTTCAAGGTAAATATATTATTAATTATGATTGTCTTATTACAAAGCTCAGTTGCGGAGTAGGAAAGAATAGAGGACACATCCAATACTGCTTGTTTATTTTTATTAATGACTCTTAAAAGAGTGACAGTTATTTACATTCATTGGTCGTGAAATGAGTTCATTGACAGCGTTTATCTAGTTGGGTGTCTCGTAAGAGTTCTATCGGTGAATTAGGCGTTTGTAAAAACAATAGTTGGAGAGAATTGCCCATTAATCACCTAGAGTGACACTTATAATGAGTTGTGTCGGAAGTTTCTATGAAAGCGTGTCATGATTTAAAAAATGATTGGATAAGAATTACGAAAAGTTTTGACGTAAAAAGAGCATATAAATTACCGTTTCTGCTAAAGTTGAAATTTTCTTTGAAGCCCCGTGTCCCAGGATGATTCATGTAATGAGGCAGTTGAAGGAGAATGAGAATAACAGAATGTAGGCCAAAATGTACTTTTGATTATTCTTGTTTTCTAAGTTAATACTGTTTCTTCTTACAAGTCTATAACTAGAATCATTACTTGTAAAATAAATGTCGCCTCATGCTACATAAATAGCCTCTAAAGTCCAAGGCGTTTTCCATAAACAGGTCTCTACAATTTCTCCTAAAATCGTTGATTGATGAGATAATTCTAGGCAATTTGATTTAAACACGAATGAAAAACCAAGTGGGAGCCATAAAAAATCAAATGTAATGATATTGTTGCACAGATAACGTCCATTTTCTTTCCACAAAACATTTTAAAAATCGGTGATTTTACTTTGAATTTTATTTATTGTTAATTTTAATTTTATTCAATTCGGTGGTATAGTGGAGATGAATGAGAAGTATGTCAACAGTTTTGACTAGGCTCATGCTCTTTAATCGCCCCGCCACTACTGAATTTCAACGATACAGATGATTTATCTCTTCGATTCCATTCAATTATCAAACTAACATCTTCATAAATATAAACATCATAAATAAAAAAGGATATGTAATTAAGGGGAGACAACGGATGAGAAATCTCACTTCAATAGCCGGCGACTTTTAAAACTCACAGTAGTCTCCCCTCAAGATAGACCCACTCTACACAACTGTTTATTAATATTCTCAGGAAAAAAATATGATGGTCCGGAGGTGGACGTTTGGTCACTGGGTGTTATTCTCTATACATTAGTATCTGGCTCACTGCCATTCGACGGTTCAACCTTAAGGGAATTAAGGGAACGTGTATTGAGAGGAAAATATCGAATACCATTTTATATGTCAACTGACTGTGAAAATCTACTGAAAAAATTCCTGGTGCTCAATCCGACGAAGCGAGCCTCACTTGAGGTACGTGGTGATAAGGTTCGACTAATCACCTTCATTTATTTTCTCGTTGTGAGCCAAATTATAATTTTCCTACCTCATTGGCTTTATTAATGGTCTTCCTTTTTTTTTTCATTGACAGAATATCATGAAAGATAAGTGGATGAACATGGGTTATGAGGATGATGAGTTGAAACCGTACTTAGAACCAGAACCAGATTACAAAGACCACAAGAGGATAGGTGAGTCTGCCAGTATGTATATAAACACTTCCTATCTATTTTCATATGCAATGTTGTGTCCGTCATTAGTTAATCGTTGTATTTATCATTTCTTTTTTCTCCTGGTGCACAATCATTTGGTGATGTAGAAATTGTATGGAAGTGGTACAACATCTCAATTTTCAATAATTTTTCATTCTACTGAATGGAAAATTATTATTCTCAGTACTCCCAAGAATGAAAGAAGTTCATGAAAAACGATTTTTCTTACTTGAATTGATGATGATAATATTTTTTTCTCATCATTGTGCACCATATAATTTCGTAGTTATTTTGATACAAAAGTTTGAAATGTGTAGATTGATGTTGCAAATTGATTTGTTTGATTGGATGTGACTATGCCTCTGGCAACTCTGTATTACAGAAGCCCTAGCCATTCTTGGATACACGAGGGGTGAAATCGAGGAGTCGTTGGGACAAGCCAAGTATGACGATGTATTCGCTACCTATCTTTTACTTGGCCGAAAGACGACTGATGTAAGTAGTTTTATTTTTCCCATCTGTGAATTATTTCAACTTTCTCCGAATGAAAATGTGCTCAATTTTTTATTTCCTCATAATTGCACAGTCTTTATGATTTTTATTCCGAAATTATATTGTGTTCCTTAACATTAAAATTTCTGTAAAATCAATGTATCGTCCATTATTATGTAAATAGAGAGAGTATTGATTGATGATTAATTGAGGGTCAACGGCTGACCCTCACCCTCTTGGAAATTGATGTCGATTTTTTCTACGATTGGGGCAGTTTGATATTTAAATGGACGATTGTTTCAACAATAAAAATTTAAGAATGATATTAACTAATTGAATTTATGGATATGGCTATCCCTGGCTTGGAATACCTCATATCCTTTTGACCAGAGCTCATGTATCCCTGTTAATTTTTCATAAATTCTTTCAGCCCGAGAGTGATGGTTCCCGATCAGGCAGTTCGCTCTCACTCCGCAATATACCGCCGCAAGTTGGTTCAGGTGGTGGTGGTTCAGGAGGTGGTACCGGTGGTACCGTACAAAGTCCATCACACAGAGGTGTTCATCGGAGTATTTCTGCAAGCAATCCTAAACCCAGTAGACGTGCTTCCTCTGGTGGTGAAACTCTTCGTAAGTCCCATTGCAACCGACTAAAAATATTAATTTTCCCAATTTTTCAAGCTCTAATAAGAAAAAAAACAACGAATCTAATCCTCAAATTTTCTGTATTTTCTCCTTACACATTTTCACATTAATACAAAAAAAAAACAAAATCATAAATCATAAATCATAAATCATGTTTGCTCATTTTGTGGTGGGTATACCCCGAATTTCAACAATTAGGCGGAGCCCCAAGTCCAGGTAACGCAACGAATCACAACCATGCGACAACTGGTACAGGTGGTACAGTAACATCAACTGGTGGTAGTAATTTCAAACGTCAAAATACTGTTGATGCAGCTACCATCAAGGAGAATAGTGCGCGTGTATCAGCAGCGAGGCCAGCAGCACCAAAAAATAGTCCTGGACAGCTCGATACCAGTGAGTTTATTATTACGACCTCAGATAAACCACGTGAGATATACAAAACAGCAATTTTTTTTATTTCACCCATTTTTTTTCCTTCGATCGGGGCGATTTAGGATGCTTTTTGTTGCTTGGAAGCGAGGCGCGAACAATTTTTTATCACTTCAGAAAGGAAATTTGTATGTAGAGTTCACCCCCAAGGCAATTCTCTTCGTTTTTCCTCCTCCCTCTTTTCATTGATCGTTTTGTTGGAGTTTTGTTTTTTCTACTTGTTGAGTTCGAATGGAAACCCACGTAATTAATTCGTTAATTAATTTTTCTAAATTAAGGCCCGTGTGTATCATCCTTCGAATGTGATCTTGGTCGTTTTTTTTCTTTATTTTGATAATAAGAAATCTTCTTCAATTGTCACTCAGTTTTACATAGCCCTGGAGTCTTCAAAAATTATGATTGTACACACTCTAAACTGGACATCGATTATCCAAATAATGATTTATTAATCCCTATTTGGATAATCGGAAATTGCTAAAATGCTCTTTGAAAATGTTTAGTTTTTTTTCTACTTTTTTCGATTGTGCAATCATAATTTTTAGAGACACCTGCGTGGTGCAAAATCCAGTAATGATGTAAATTGTGATACATTTTAGATTATGAAGATGGAAAAATAATCGAGATAAAATTCGAAAAATAACCCATCCGGCTCTTAATAGAAAAAAACGTGAAGAAATCGCTGATGTGCTTAATTTGCTAGTCTTTTCGTTTGTGATTATCTTTTGATCGTACGTTGGTTTGTTTTGTGTTGAACCACATCTAATGAGACTTGCAGTGACAATGTTCATTCTAGGCGTCGGTACGAGTCCCGGTGGAAAAGCCAGAGTTGGAAAGAGTAATACGATAAATACCGGAGTTGCTGGTGTACGACCGTTGACATCACCAGCTCCGGGAACAGTCGGCAGACGCAGTACTATATCGTACGATCAAGCCAAGACATCGTCATCGTCTACGGAAAGAACTAATGATGTACCAAGGTAGGGCACTCATTACAATTCCACTTTAACTACAATTAACGTTGAATCAAAAATTGAACCGACGGTTCATTCAGTTCACACTCAACTCAATTTGATTAAGGTTTTTGATTTTAACAATAGGATTTTGTGCATGAAAGGTCATTAACTCTAGAGTTTGATGCACAAAATCGTTTGATTACGAATATGTTCATGTACTAACCAACAATTGCGCACTGTTTTCATGAGGATAAGAGAGTGTAGTCGAGCAGGAATTTACCAATTGTTAATACTTGTGGAGATTCGAATAGAGAGTGAACGAAACTCAGTGAGATTATTTATTTGTTGCATTATTTATAGCATGCTTGGCTGTTGCCTGATAATGATACCAATATCATCAATTTCATCAATTTTTAAAGACTCTGATCATTAAATCTCAACAACATCAGTAGCATTTTTATAGATATTTAATTTATTACGCTATGTGAAGTCAGTAGTCGAGGGATGAAACAAGACATTTTAACTATAGTTCGAAATCAGTCTAGCTGTAAACTGTGAGGAAATGTAACATTTCAGGTAGATTTTTCATGTGTTGTTGATGTTGGCATTGTCCTGGGGATGGGTAAATTTCAGAAGCCGTCAAAGCTTGTGATCTAGATCCTTTGTTGTTAATTTTTTTCACTGAAAATTTCCATACAAAAAAATCGACAAAAACAATCTAGATAACATTGGAAAGATAATTTAACCGTGCCCTTAACCATATTCCCAAAAATCACCTCTTCGGAAATTAATTCGAGCTCTCGTTTGACAATTCTCAGCAGAATTTGTCTCTCCCTCATTGAGATTAATCAACCACGTGTGTGACATTATTCTTGTAGAATAAAGTCTGATGAAAATCCAGGAATAGCACATGGTTCAATCGTGGCCGGAATAATTGATTGAAATTGAGAGAGGAAAATAAAATGTTAGGATAAATTCGGTGAAATTATTTGGGGGCAATCTGTTGAATTAGTTTTATGCACAGCTTAACCGAGGGCACTAGGCCAACACGTGGTCATATCAAGTCAGCCAGCATCAGTGCAAGTCACCGTTCCTCGAGTGGAGTACCACCGAGTGACAATTCACTACTGGATAATCAACCACGGAACGCTCACAACTCATTACTCGCAACTGCTGATCCTCTTAGACAGAGGTACAGGCTCCCCCCATTTTCTTGAATTGAAGTTTTTCGAAAGAAAAAGAGTTTAAAAATTCAGTAGTGAAGGGTAATCCTATGAGTGAACTGAAATGTGTCAACTCCACTTCGAAATGACTTTTTGTCGACTAAATGGGAATCTTGAGAAGCCGAAATTGTCATCGAGACCTTCGTAGTAGGGAAGGGTGGGGCAAAATGGACACATTTGACCTTTTTTTATTGATGTTCTTCACTCAATGACAAATTCATCGATTTAATTCCGTCTAGGTTCATTACAAAAGGAAAAGGATCGTATTTTTCGTTTAAAATAAATGATCCCATTTCTTAAAATTCAGTAAATCATTAGGATTATCAAAAAAAATTCAGTGTCCGTTTTGCTATGCAACTTTGGCTATTCCTATGAGATTCGAAGATTTACAGCAAACAGGTATTTCAAGGATGAGTTGACGAGTTTCATTTTATCATTTCACTGGAGATTTTTTTTTTTCAAGTGACCATTGTTATCCCTCACATCTCGGCGGAAATTCGTTTTCTTTATTATTTTTATATCCACATATACCTTCGGCCACTAACTCTCTTGGGGAATCTACATGCTCGTAAAATTCGAGCTTCCAAGTTTCTCGTCGCCTACTGGGAGCTGTAAACTATGAATTTAGAAATATAAATTGAGTTGAAACACGATTGAAATTTCATTCACGTAGGAACTCTAGGATAGTTTTTGGTCATTTTACCATCATTCGCCCACTAACACATTTTTATTTTACGTGTAGCTTTATGTACTCGTTTCTCTCGGTTTCATTTGAATTATTTTTGATTCACATTTTCTCATAACCTTCATTCATAGTATGATTCATCAAATGAAACTCATTAGTGCTGACGGCATGTGTGCTTTACTTCAATGTTGCAAATCTACTGAGCTTCGAGATAAAAGCATTGAGTTGGTTTTCTTATTTTTAAGAGCCCCTTTCGCTGCGAATGGGTCTCTTTTATTTCGTACGTCAAATTAAACTTTCCATGATAATTATGAGTTAATGTTTCATTACTAATTTCTCCTCGGTTATTATTATGTGTGGGTCCAAGAGTGTATGTGAAAGTTATTATAACAACTTATAATTACATTATAATTGTCATTAACTCGAAATTTAATGAGTTGTTCAACCGTTATACCCGGGATTACACAATTTGAGGTGTACTCATGGATGAATTACTTCAATTTAGCTTGGGGGTGTCACCGAGTAATAGATTGACAACACCCACAACGCCAGCATTTCCAAGGAATGTTCCCAGTCGCAGTACGTTCCATTCTGGTCAAAACCGAGCACAGCGAAATCATACTCAGGTAAACTTAAAAGAATATCGTGGTTTCTGGGTGAAAGCATTTATTTGCAGTCTATCATTCACTGTTAAAGATTGTTTCAGATTATCAAAATAAAAAAAAATAACCACGATCCCGTTGGAAAGATAATACACGCGGACCTTGAAAGAAAAATTCCATCGGAGAACAATTGCGGGTTCAGAATCATTTTCAAGATAAGAACTCGGGAAAAAGTTTTAACATAAAATGCGGGGCAAAATGAATTGAATTTTACATCGTCTTATTTTGTCGCATTGTTTACAAAGTTTTTTTATTCCAAATATCTCGATATATAAAACAGATAAAAAACCAAATTCTTCAAAATTACAAATTACAAACTAATTTTCAATTTTTCTTTTTTTCGTTGAGCACTAATGTGAATCACATCATTCAACTCCCAAAAGTTGAATCATGCGAGAATCTTCCTGAACTATTGAATAATTAACCGCGCTTCCGAGTAAGAAGGAGGAATAACCAGCAGTTCCTGAAGCCCTATTGATGCTGACGCTCACTGAGAGGCGCTTCCAAATAATTAGCAAACTGCTAATTGATTCAAAGTTCACAGTTGACTAAACCCTGATAGTTTTGAATTATCAAGAATAATAAACTCTCTTGTATCTCGAAACGTAAACTTTAGCATCAATAGTTATCTTTGATAGTGCTTAACCCATTTGATTAATGCCTAAATATTAATATCGGAAAATGATTGGTAAATAATTTCATCAATCTTTCTCCAAAAGACAATTTTCTAATTTTAATAAATATTAAATAGTAGTATAGTAGTATAGGAGAGAGTGGGGCTAAGTAAAAATGATTCACTAAAGTTCTTGTTAAATAAACTCCGTCCATTTTACCTCGCCTTCTCCGAAGTTATAGTCAAACCTTAATGAACTGCAAATTGATGCTTTTACATTAATTTTTTTTAAATTTGTTTTAATAATTGAATTGAATCGTTGCAAAAATTACAGGGACATACTCACACACAGGATACGAGTGCGATAAGTCCACTAGCCAGGCCATCTTTCTTCTCAAAACTCTCTTCGAGGTTCTCGAAACGGTGAGTGTCAATTTAATTCCAATGTCAATTGATCTATTTATCATTAAATGGTCTCATATGAATCCCCTCGGCATGGTAGTGAGTATTCCCCCTGTCTACAGTACAAATACAGTGATTCTATTTCGAACATATTGATCCCTATCCACTGTTATTTCTGCGTCTCCCAGTGCTTTTCATGAGAAGTAATAAACAGTAAATAAAAAAAAGATGAGTAATTTATCAGTATTAATCCAGACGCAACTAATCCACTCAGCAACATAATCGATCTAGTTGATTGTTCATTAATACTATAATTCTTCGTTCCTTAAATTGAGTCATGCAGTTTATCGTGCAGTGAAGTGAGAAAATGTAATCAGAAAAATGTCGTATTCTTGTTAATGAGAGGATTTGATTTCTTTCTAGTCAAAAGTTTACCAACTGAAGAAATTCGTTGGCATACTCAAAAATCAAAATTATTCTCATAAAATTGGTTTTACGGTGGGATTGACATAAACCCTTTGTTTCACTCATTATCGAGATAATTGAACAATTAACGAGATAAACTATGTTGAATACAACGGTTTTATTAACTACGCTTATGTAATTATCTTGGAAATGAGCAATCTCAAGGGAAAATGTTGAGAGATTTATTTTGGAATTTCCTTCCACATCACTCATTGAGATAATTTCATATCCACTAAGATGAGAGGAATTTTTTACATTTTATCATTTACTCAATCGTGAACTAACAATTGAGCAACTTCACCAATTATCATTGTTTTAGTCCCTCACATGTGCTACGCATTGATTAACAACTACTGTCACTCATGTCGAACGAATCCGAAGAATTATTGTATCTACTCGTTGTTATTGCATGCACATTTGTTGTTTCTTGTTTATCTTTTTCATCTTTATTATTTTTTTCAAGGATGCACAATGACTATGTATTGGTAACTTTTCAAGTCCTCAAATGGATAAAGATGCATTAATGATTAATGATTAATGAATTAAAAAATGGACAGAAACATTTTAAATGTTTAAATTGTTTGTTTTTGTCCGGTTTATTCTCAATCGATGAGTTCAGCAGCGACCATTATCAGTGAAAGCTAGTGTTTATATATCAATGTAGCTTAAGTCTATTCCTCATTATTTTAACATTCTATTTTTTTTTTAGTCATATAATTACGAAAACTTTACGCGCACGTCTATTTGTACTCCCTCATTGTAAGTCCCTCAAGAACCTGCTTGAAAGCGTATTATTATTTCCTATTTAGGAATAATTTGACAGAATTCAGGTGTGATTTTATAGCTCGAAAATTGTGACCATTTTTTCTTGTTAACGACGGAAAATTTACACCTGGATTCAGTGAAATTATTTCTCACATTGATTCTGTAGTGAAAATCAAAAGTACAGGAGATACGTCTAGAACAAACTAATTTGCAGATTATTTTGCAAATATGGTCGAATAAATGAGAAATGGAGAAACTCATCAAGCGTCGAATACACTACACTGTTGGAAATTTTTTGAAAATTAAGAATTTAAGATCAAATCGTTCACGAAATCTCTCATCCAGGTTGGAAATTCAGGATAATAGGGTTTTTTACGTTAAATTATCTGGAATTTTCTAATTCATTGCGGAAATTGAACATCGGATCCAACTGAATTTTCAGTAACAAAATACATGAAAATTTCGTGTAAATGACGGATTGGTAAATATTTCAAGATTTTTTACTTGAAAATCTTTTATTCTCGTGGTGAGAATTTCTTGCGCGTAGGACCCTCTCTTTAACTCTTTTCCAAACTCACCGGTTCTAAAGATATTCACAAAAAAACCTGTCTAAAAAATTTTAATTTCTCTAAATTTACCACTTCACTACAGAATTAATTTGGAAGTTGTATTACAAATACGGAATGCAATCCAATCTTCGTACAGGATACCACAGGGACTGTAGGGGAATAAAATTCCGAGAATTACGTATCCCCCACTTTACATGCGCTCAGATGGGAAAATATTTTGATTTGATATTCTTCGTACAATAAATGAAAGCATCGATACGAAAGAAGGGAAAATACAGCAAAATTTATGAAAAGATTCCAGTATATTTCCAATAAATTGTTACCAGGCGACCTCGCATATACTCATTGTGCATCCCTACTGTTTCTGCATTAAATTTTTTTATTCATCATTTTGAATAATGTAGCGAGGCATTTTATCAAATTTTCCAGCATAAATTTGACTTTTTCTATTTATAAATTTTCTTCTCTCTCTATTCCCCTGGAGCTATTGCACTTGTTTTCTATGAGAAAAAAAAAGAAATGATACGTCAAATTATGAAATAAAATTATATGGTGTAGGCAATGACGTGATAAAATAACCACGGAATTTCGATTTTCGAATGAGACAATGGAAAATGTATGATGACAATGTGACGACCACAGAATAACGTTATTAATTCACAAGTCAATTGTATTTATTTGTTTCCTGAAGTATTCCATCGATCTATTGAACTTTCATGATATGGTCACTGTACTCATCATTGTTAATGGTACAGATTAAGCGGGTGGGTTTGAGGTGGCGAGGGAAGTTCAAAATATCACATAACCATTGATGCATCATTAAATGAAAAGTAATAATGAACCTTTTTTTTTTGTTATAAAAAATAATTGAAAATATCTGACAAATACTGATTTCGGTGTAAATTCTGTTGCTGCAGGACTTGAACCAAGTAGAAATACGGCTCCTGTCTCTCAATGTGTCCAATGATGGCCAAATATGACGCGAGTTTCCCTCATTAATCAACCAACCAATGACGCGTTGCTGTTCAATGACCTGAGGCAACTAAAAATACGTGACTTGATATAAAAAATTGATTTTTCTTTTGAAAATTTCCATTGTTAAATCGCTCCAAGAATGCTAACAAGTCGAGGCTCAATGAAGAATGTGATGCATTGAAAATGCCTGTCTGCATAAGAGAGAAAGAGAGAGGGAGAGAGGAAGAGAGTGACTGAGGGAGAGAATGCGAAGGAAAATGAAATGTAGTTATGTGTACATTTGGATACGTTATTCTGTGGTGCACCGATTATGGCATAGATACATTTTCCATTATCTAGTGTTTAGAGATTTCTGTACATTAATCGAATTAATTAATTGAAGTTGTATATTCAGATTGGTATGTATCATTGCATAGGGGAGAGTGGGGCAAAATGAAACAGTCGTAAAACGACTGTTTGACGTAATTCAAGCAAAACAATTTTTTTTTCTTGCTTGAATTGCGTCAAATGGTAATTTTTCGGCTATTTCATTTTGCCCCATTCTCCCTTACTCATATGTCAGGAGTGAAGTTGTAAAAGACACTTGATGAGTTCAAAATTGGACATGGACATAATTTGTGAATGTCATTCGTGGAAGCCAGGAGTCTAGCGGAAATTGTCTAAAAATTTTGTGAACAAAGGTCCCTCGACATTTTTCGCTAAACCCACCAATTTCAGCAATATTTGCAAATTGATTCATTGTCTATGAAATTTGTCAACTCAACTACTGTTATTAACCACTTCGCCCCGGATATATTTATATATTAAGGATGATAAAAATTCTTGAATGTCTTCCATCGTCGCTAGACATTGTGTATCCACATACATACGAGAGGGGGGGGGGTCGCCTTACGTATTTTAGAAACTGCACAGTGAACAAATACAATTCGTGCCTTTCCCAATACCACTTTTCACACCTCAAGTCACACGCCCAAACAATTGAAGATAAAGATAGACTAAAAATATTATTTTTTTATGGCAAAAAAATTATCTTTGACACTTCGGAATTCTAATTGAACCAGCTAATCCTCAATTAGCTCTGCAGTAGTGATATTACTCTTTCATAGAAACTCTAGACGACTTCGCCAGCGTATGGGTTTCTACTAAGGCCCGGATGGACTGTCTTTCGAACATTATCTCAATTGTTTTTCCATCTTCATAATCTAAAATATATCACAATTTCCATTGGATTTTACATCACGTAGGTGTCCCCAAAAAATTTTATTTAATATAAAATGTTTAAAACAAAAATAAACAATACAAGATACGTTACATAAATCATAGAACGCCTATTGCCATAAAAATGAATTAGGTGTAATCTCATCGGTCAGATCGTCAAACATTTCCAATTAATGGTGAATTAAAATTTTTATTAATATGGATCTGTAAATTTTCTATTAAGTAAATAATTGATAATTTATCATCGCAACTGATCTGACAGGCATTGGCTACTGAGTCAAATGACGACTGAACAGCCATTAGATACTGTAAATTATTAATTTGCAATTTCTTCCCTATTGGGTTTATTTCTCAATATTATTCAAAAACGCTCTTTGAAAATATTAATTTTTTTCAAGGTTTTTTGATTGTACAATCATAATTTTTGAGGACTCCAGGGCTATGTAAAACTGATTGGCAATTGAAGAACATTTCAGACTACCAAAATAAAAAAAACAACCAAGATCACGTTCGAAGGATAATACAGGCGGGCCTTGATTCGAAAAACCTTCGACTAATTGACGTTAGTTAAAGAAAAAAAAGATCATGAATCACAAAATTTATCCTCTTAAATATATTTAAAAAGATCAATATTATCGGTATGTCATTATAATCGTCCCGTGCATCAACAGGTTTTCTAAGTGAAAAGGTGGACGATGAGTTCGCCATGTTTTCTTCACGGTGAAACGAGTTTGCGAGTTGTATCAAGCCTGGGGGCTCTCACGCATCGGCAATTACAATTGCCAAAAAGCGAAACAAATAATTAAACAGAAATTCACAATAAGAAGGAAAAGAAGGAAAAAATATAGTTAATAAATGATGAAGTACGAATAGAAGTGTATAATTATTTTTTCACTAATGACAGAAGATGGAAAGAAAGAAGAGAAGAATTAAAAAATTTCAATTAGAATTTAATGAGACAGGGGAAAGCATTAACTCACGTGGGGGTACTTGTTATGTATTATAAATAAAATGAAAAGGAGATAAAAAAATGAAACAAATTGGCCAATGATCGGCATCAATCCGTGATTAATTTATATTCAATCAAAGAATCAAATACTCAATTGACAATTTCTCAAACGATTTTAAAATTGAGTTTTTTTAGGTGTAATTAAGTATTATTAGCAAAAAAAATGAAGTATCTTTGATTCTTCGGAGGAAAGTGGAAATTCAGTTATGCGTTTAAGAGAGAAAAATCAATTCAAAATAAAATGAGGTTCAGGCTGTTTTTTTTAATTTCTTTGCATTCTCATTAGGTTTGACTGTGATCTCAATATTCTCTGCGTGAAACCCGAATATAATGTTCAATTATTATTTTCTTCTTTTTTCCTTTTCGCTTCAATCGAATTTAGCTCCGTTATTATTTCCCTTTCTGTCGTATCATTAATCACTTTTGATTTTATTTCATTATGTACAATGACTACAGAATGCATTTTTAGGGATAATGGAAAAGTAATGAGAGAATAGTTAAGTTCCTAAAAGAAAATAGAATTGAGTCGCCGAAGATGAACATGATTTCGTATTATTGATAATTAAACAGCTTGTTCGTCAGACTTTCCAACAATTTTTTTTTTCAATAATCAAATATACATGAAATATATTCGGGATGCATTGGCTCTTATCAAATAACCGAGATTGTACAAAACTACGAATCAATATGCATTTTTTTTGTCCACAAGAATCATTAAATTGGAAAAAAACAATATCATATAAAAAATTTACTCCATTCAGTCGCAATTGTGTATCTGAATTCAATGAACGATTCCCGACAATCGACTAAGAATGACGAAAAAAAAAGAATTAGTAGATGGGAAATGAAAAATCAGCTTAATTGCGCGTAGAATCGTGGCTTTTTTATCCAATCATTGTTACTGCTCTTGTGTGATTCAACGCAATGCAAATAATGAGTGATACATCATTGTCATTGTTCTTCATAAAGAGAGATCCGTTAAACGCTTTATTCATGATAAATTTTAAAAAGAATAATGCAACTCGTGGCTGGAAAGTCATATTTTATTTCAGTTTATCTCGTACCATTCGATTTATTAGCGTGAATCCCCAATAAGGTCACAATGATGAAAAATAGTTAATTATTATCAATAGTTGAATGTAATTTCGCCGAGTGGCTTCGAATAAAGAACATGACTTTGCATAGCATCAACACTTTTGGATTAAGCCACGCTATCAGTTAACATTTTTTTAAAATAATTTTTTGTATTTTTTTTGTGATTTTTTTCTTCTATTCAATGTTGTCCAGTAGCATGCATAAAGACCGGTAATCGTTTTACTATGGAAAAAAAAATTGCATGAATGACTGTAGAAAATTGTAAAGCGATGAAGTATTGAGAGAGATAATCAATCTGAGTAAGTGGGTAACACTCTTGCAATGAGAAAAATAAAATGAGTGAAAGAGAAAAAATGACAAAAAATTACCCGTGGCCAACTGGTAAGTCGGTGTGTCGCAGTGATACGAACATGAAGTAACATTTGGTGAAAGAGAGAGCGAGAGATATTAATTAATGAATTAGAACACTACAATATTATATAAGTAATTAATAGCAAACATTTATATTAATGATATATAAATATGAACTTTATTATGCCTGTATTTGTACCGTTTACTGCGCTCCAAACCATGTTGCCCATCTCACCCCACTATCTAAGAATTTATGAATAATTAATTAGACATTATTTTTTTTTTCTCGAGAGTCATTTACAATTAATCATTCGGTTCAATCATTTTCGGATGATTTGTATTTATAACGAAAATTGAAATTTTTTTTGTCAACGATTGAATCAATTATTGATATTAGGTGATCATTACGTGGAGAACAGTAAATGGAATAGCTAAATTGAAGAGAACGAAAAGAGGAATAAATTGCAGGATAGAATTTATTATTTAATAATTTTAAGAAGCAATAATAGTAATAATTTCATATTAATAAATATTTTAAAAAATGTCTTGTAAATGTTGTATCGATTTATTTATTACAAAACCTTTATCGAAGAAGGATAAACACATGTTACATAATTAATATAATGCAATCATGTATTTTCACAATGCATGCGTGTAATCACTGTGTTAATTTTTACATATGCATTTTTTTTTTTTTTGCAAATACGTGGATTGGTTCATTTTGTAACAAGTCTTTGCAATTGGAGCCGATGTAATGACGTGATTATTTTCTTCCATTGCAATTTTCGATGGTTGTTTGATTGGGAAAATTGTTTATTTACGAGCACCTGCCAGTGGGTGTCATTGCTAACTTTGTGAAGACGATGAGATGGTGATTGGGTAATTGCATTTTCTTTGATAGGTTTTTCATTGTCAGCCACTTCACATTCGACTCGCAAATGGCAACACACTGGTGATGGTCGTACGAAAGTAGATGAAAAAAATAGGGAAAAACAAACATTTCTACCAAATTCTTTTTAGTGTCCGTTAGCAATTGCGTTTGTTTTGTTATTTCAGCCCCATGGACCCATCCGTACCCCCCAAGCACCCAGTAGTGAGGTACGTTGCATACCTTTTCATTTCATTCAATCATGTTTATTTGTGGATTATTATTCGCGCAGAGAAGTAGTCAAGGTCGAGGGGTCAGTTGAATAATTTTAGGCACAACAGATGATTTTGTCAATTGTTCGGAAACAGCTTGGTTCAGGATAAAAGTGATGAGATATTTTTTCTTGTCAATGGAGTCATCTGCAAAAAATGTAAATTTACACAGAAAAAAATTATTTTGACCAAATATCCATTTTCTTGAGAGAAATATTTATTTTTTCAAATCCTCATTAGGTTTCTATTATGTTAATTATATTGGTCTCAAGTAAATGAATAATTGGCAAAAATAATTTTCATTTTAAACTTTTGACTCGCCTAAGACTGATCACTTCTCTACTGGCTTAAATTTTTTTCCAACTCGATTGAATTCATTGCCTCCACTAGTTTTCATTGTTAGCTGTTTTTTTGTTAATTTTTATTAATTCAATTACTTGTTTTCCAGTTTCAAATTCATTTCCTTGTTTCATCACTGACGCATGCACTGCAGCGATATTTAACCGAATTGACTAGCATAGAAAACAATTAGTCAACTGATGAATTATCCAATTGACATTGTTATTTGAGGAATGCGTAGTCCATTTAGCTTTGAGAATCAACTAATTGCATGCCAGGCATGTACGTTAGTCAGACAGTGCTCGGTTACATGTTTATTCCGATTGAATGACATAAGATAACAATAATTTGTTTGCTTGGCAATGTATTAGAAGTGTTCTGAGAAATCAATTTTTGAATTCCGTTTCTTGCAAATATCTTCAAAATAAAGCGGTTTAGGCAAATTCTTCGGGAAATTTTCTCGGAAGGAAATGCCATGGACTTGAAAAAAAATCGTGATATCTTCCTCGGAATCCCCCAATTTCGCAGATATTTGTAAAAGAATGTTTATAAAACTTCTGGACTTATCGTCTATTCTTCATCCTTTCGAAGAATTAGTATTACCATTAGTGGGAGAGTAATTAAAGTAACGAAATTGACACTGAAAAACTTCAGGACAAGCTAGTGATAGTCCCAATTAGGAATAAACACGGAGAAATCAATAGAAGTGAAAATAATCGCCCTTGAAAATTAAATAAAACTCTCATTGCCATTTCCTCTTAGTTCTTAAGCTACCTTAGAATCGATAAAAAGTGCAGACTTAAGATATATTTTTGTTGCAGTGGTGCAACCACTAATGACGAGCAAGTCAAGCCTCGTAGCTTGCGTTTCACATGGAGCATGAGGACAACGAGTAGTCGAGATCCGAATGAAATTATGTCCGAAATACGTAAGGTAAACTAAGAAATATCCTCTCAAAAAAAAAATTGTCAAAAATCCAGTTGAAGAGAAACCCTAATGAGATGATGAAACGAAATGACTCGATTTTGCTCCGAGATGAACCCTCAGATAGAAAAGTTTGCATGGAGAGCTTTTAGTGGTCCTGATTTTCCCCTGAAAAGGTTTCTCATGCAAATGACTGGACTGGATCGCCTCAATATTTTCAGGATTAAGCGTAGAGAGAAAACTCAGGAGAATTTTCTCAGCTGCGAATTGGAAAAGTGTAAAATAAAATTTCCAGATTCTGCACGTCTTATCAAGTCCCAAATCATCTCAATGATGATGAATTGTAGGTGTCCGGTAACTCAGGGGCAAATGGCGCTCAAATGAATGCTCTGGTGTTCAACTACAAAAGTAGAAAAGCATTTTACTGGAGAAAAAAAATAGCCAATTACTTGCATATCCTTAATAGCGAATCGTTGAAATGTAATTTTCGTTGGATGGGAATTAGAGACGCAAAATGACGGTAATCTTTGACATGCCTCAGCCGTAAATTTACCGCTTTACCAAACGGTAGACGATAGACGATAATTGCATGGGTATTTCGCAATGTTATCCATTTCGTTTTATTACTCCGATGCAGGATCGACGCGATTCATCTCGTTTCACCAACCCTCCCCATCCCTAAAAAAGCCAAAATATCAACGGCATCGCCACAACAGAAGAGTTGAAAATTCACTCAAGTTTAAAAAAGCCGAATTAATTGTTTTTACGCAGGTGCTGGATGCTAATAAATGCCAGTACGAGCAGCGCGAGCGTTTTCTTCTGTTATGTGCACACGGTGATGCAGCCACAGACAGTCAAGTACAGTGGGAAATTGAAGTCTGTAAACTGCCCCGTTTATCCTTGAATGGCGTCAGATTCAAACGCATACTTGGTACATCAATAGGATTCAAGAATATTGCAAGTAAAATTGCTAACGAGCTCAAACTGTGACTGCCGGCTGCTGGTGGACTCGCCACTAATGTTAATCCATAACCCAGACGTGATTGCAGTCACAATGTGGCTGATTATTACGTTGACACATCCTCATTTTTTGATTGGGATTCAGACAGTGATTCGGAGGAGACACGTGAAGTATTCGTTTGAAATAGTTTCCTCAATCGTTATGAAAATTTGTTGATTATCCCAATCGAGAAATTAACGGAGAAATCTATCAAGTATCTTCTATATCGATCGTGTAGTCTTCACTGGAATTCGAAGATGTTGACAATTTTTACAATCACAGAGAAATCAGTGGAATGAACGAAAAAATGGAGGGAAAATTCCTCGTCCTGTGATCTAAAAACTCGTCCATGATTCTAATCCCTTCAATGCCTTTCTCTCCACCCCTTATCTTAATTTTTAACTCCCCTCCAACTCCTCAATGTGCCAAAAACACTTGGGCCACGTTTAACGATGAAAACAAGAGAAAATATTCGGGGGATTCTAATGAATCAGAAGACAAATCAACTCAAACGTAATCGCGAGTTCGGCATCAATTTCTTCGAATGATATCCACTGTGTAGGAATTCTACAATTACGATTACTAGAGTAAATAGAAATACGAAAATTTCTCCCCGAGTGAATTCAGTAGTCAATTTTTTTTCCGCAATTCTATCAGGATTCAATGAAAATGTGAGAATTCATAAAATTTGTAATAAATAGCGAAGCAGAGAAGAGAAGAGAACAGTGCAGAAAATTTTCTTGTACCTGTTGAAGACACGTACATTAAATGCGCATAAATAACTGACAAAAATTAAACAATCAGAATAATGCCAGGGAAGTGAAGGACAATGGTTTTGTTTTTTCTTCAAAACCTGTGGCACAAATACTATTAGTTACTTGGTTATTTTTTAGAGGAATGAAAGCTTCATCAGTCTCTCATGCCGGTCAATCAATCTGTCAATAAGCAATTGCCTACATCATCTGTCAGTTGATTACAAATGAGTAGAAGCAAACTAATTAATAAGTAGAACATTAATATACTTGGATCGTTGCAAGCTGTGTGGTACGGAGTACACAAATCCCTGATCATGTAATAAGTTTTTTCGATTTAGTTTTTCGATAGTTAATCAATTGTATTATTGTCAAGTAATTATTATTTGTTATTGATATATTTTGATCGTCCGTGAGGGATACGAGGATCAATAAATTGAATGTATTAGGTGGTATTCGATCGTACAATTTCTGTATTTCGTCCAAAATGTGAATACTATCATTGATGAGTCTATACTTTGTTCTTTGTGGGAGAAGAAAATAGGCTTTTCACTCTAACTCTTGAATATTAAATTCGGTCACTGAAAAACAATCACGAAATTGGGATCTGGATATTTCTCATTGACCAAGACATTTGATAATTTTAGGTTTTCTAATTGGCTCTCTGGAAGTATTAGGTTTAGCAAGAAATATCCAAAGAACTGCTGATATTTTCCTCCAAACCTTTTCCTTTCGATGATAGTTTGCATACAATTACCCCCAAATATCAATTTTTATCAGGTGCTTTTTGCGGTTCGATGGACACATATATATTTTTTTTATAAAATGAGATGAAGGAAAAGTTGCGTGTGGTTGTATAATTTCTGGGGCTTGCCAAAGATCTATAGTTGTATATAATATAAAGGTACTAAATTATAAATGGAATAAGCCTCATGTGTCGATTTTCCTTTCGGATAGAAAATATAGGGGATGATAATATGCACCGCAAAAAGGGTAAATGAAATTAAATGCATCATTGGTGAGGTTTTTGTATCTGCCTAAGTGTTGAAATACACAATTACCATCGATCTTGAGGAATTAGGCGATATTGATAATTTCGGTGGCAAAGTGGTGAAACACAACAGATGAGTCAGAGAATTTCATGTAGATTATTTTGCAAAATATCTCAGAGACTGGGGGGTTTCAAGATGACCATCTTGAAACCTTTTTTTGTAGTTAATAAAAGTCTTTTCAAAAAAAGGTCTCACGATACTTTATTTCACATCGCTTCTCAGTCACAAGAAATTCTTTAAAATGATCTACATTTTATGATCTCATCTCATTCGACCACTTTTCTACTCATTTCTTTAATTGAAACAATCACTAAATCAACTCTCCATAGTGGAGGAGAGGGGGCAAAGTGAAACACAAAAACGACTATTTGACGAAATTCAAGCAAAAACAAATTTTTTTATTGGGAGTACTGATGAGGATAATAATTTTCTATTTTGAAAAAATCACTGACATTCGAAACCCCGATATAGCCTCGATTTCTTTTTTCATCGAATTGGCTACCCTTGGGTTTTTTCATTTTACTGAATGGAAATATATTATTCTGATCAGTACTTTCGATAATAAAAAAAGTTAATAAACAGAAGTTGATAAAAAACTTTTTTTTTTGCTTGAATTGCTTCAAACAGTCAACATTTCGCTCCACTCTCCCCCATCTAACACATCAGAAATTCGGGAACGGGTGCCCTAACGGGCACACCAATCTAAATATCTTGCTACGATCAATGCCCAAGCAATCTTCGAAAAATCATCAACTAAAAAATCAACTGAACCATGAAAAAACACAACTAAAAATCTAAACTGTACCGACTTTTCATTGACCTCCAAAAGTGGTACACAAAAATGCTGCAACTTGTTAAACGACTGATAGGAACTAAGTATCGACGGTAGCAGTCTCATTTTTTTAATTCATAAATGAAGAAAAAAATCACAAATTAACATAATTTAACGATTACGCGAGGCAAATGAATGCAACTGTTCAGAAATTGACAGACAAATTGAGAAATGCAGAAAGCCATTCGAAGAGAAACGAAAGAAGAAAGCGAAACATTGGCAAACGGGACTTATTGTTTTCTTAACTATATAACAAACAAATATGTACAGTTTTTCATCAAACACTCAATTATTTTAATGAACAATTAATTAAAAACGAAAGACATCAAGACCACACATCCGAAGGCCCATGTAATATAAAGGAAACCCAAGGTTTCACGAAATCATTTCATCAGTTCACAATAAGAAGTTGATTCGTCTTCAATAAAAATCTATAATAATTTTACTCATCATTACTAAATTAATCATTGTCCATAATATCATTGTTTTATTATAGATTCAAATGTCGCAAATGATAAGTAAACGACAGACATGATGATTTCACTGACTTTCCTTTTGCTAATGCTATTGACATTACGTTAAGTACAATATTGATGCGTAAATAAATAAATAACGATTGTAATATTATATAAAAAAAAAACAAAACAAAAGTATGAAACAGAACATGCAGTCGGAATGAATAAGCCGAAATTAATTGACGATAAAGGGGGAAATAAGTGAATCGATTGCATATAAATATATAAATATGAATATATATCTAATCATAGTAATTACTACTGTTAGACAATTTAATTAATAAGGAACATCCCTCTTAGTGATTAATGGTGAAATCCCCTTTAACACGCTAAGTAATTGTACTCTGTAATTCTATACATACACGAAGAAAATGATAAATGATTAAATGAAAATCACACTGCTCCCGCTTGCTTGGTAAATGAGGTAAATGAAAAATTAGGATGAAACAAATTTATGTAAATTCGATAAATTAATACTTAAATGCGTTTAATGTTTAAGGACACTGATCCATATAGGGGAATTCATTTTGAGGAAAATGGGATGAAACAATTAATTTATTTTGTTGCAGAGTGGTAAAACGTCATAAGTCGAATTGACGTTTTTTTAACTCGAAGTTATTCCAACACTGACTATAGGGGAAATATCAAAGACCATTTTTCCTTTGAGGAAATCTTCAACAGAAAATTTTTTGCAAAACACTTTTTTTCTAAAATCACTCACTATCGGAGTGTTTCCACGGTCAATGAGATGAAAAATCAAATGTCAATGTTTCACCACTCCGCAGAATTTAGGGAACCCCATTGGCTGAACGGACACGACTACAGAAATTGAATTCTAAAACAATTATTGAAAATGAACAGCAAGGCGAGGTTTTATCTGCATCTCCTGTGAGTCTATCTCATAATTTTCTAATGAGGTACTATAACCCTCTTCAACATGAAAGATAAAGTTTATTCATTTTTTTAAGATTACATTTACAAAATTTCATTGATGAACAAATTTTACATTCATACAAACACACACTACATACATGCACTCCAGTCTGTAGATAGGTACATACAAGCTTTGCTAAGTGTTTTCTGGTGATCGGTATATAGCCAACAATGTAGTAAGAAAGAAAAAAAACAAGAAAAAAAACATTTATAATAAAATTTTAATGAGTATTGCTTTTTAAATCCTCATGACATATTTCTCGAAAGTGATGTTGGAAGAGTTTTTCAGAGGTGAGTATAGAATTTTTATTGGGCTGTAGATGCTGGAATGAATCCGGCAGAAAAAATGCAAAAGTTTGCGAAAAATTAGCGTTAAACAAGATGAACGGATATTTTTTCCCTAAAATGACTCATTTTGCAGTGGAATGGATAATTAATAAACATTCCGCATTTGAATTGAAGTGATTTCACTTGTAAAGTGGAAATCACTACTTCAACGAGAAAATTCTGTCATGGTGTGATAAAATAAGGTAGGTCTGAAAGTTTCATACACATTTTGGGAATAGCTCTGAAAATGTTCGGAAAAATACTTTTCGCAATTAATTAAAATTGTTTACAATAGGCTTTGAATTTCATTTGAATGAAAATAATGAAAGTTCCTATTCCAATAATTAATTATCCACTGCCCAAATATTATTTATCTATAGTATTGACAAAACAATTCACTTTTAACAATGTACTTTCTTCAATCGGCTAATCGCTTCAACTAAACTAAATTCTATTCGTAAATTTATTCGTCCAGAAATTGACCTGTTTACCCTAGGAGTGATGAGTTCGGCCGCAACCAAAGCGCTCCGAATGCCGGAGATAACAGACCTAAACTTGATTGTCAACATGGCAACACGTGCGTGTGGCTTCGTGATATTCCGACGCTTTAAAGGACCAATCGAGTATTTATTAATGCAAACATCGTATGGGCAACATCACTGGACTCCTCCAAAAGGTTAAAACAATAATCTTTAATTATCACGTTTTCAACTCGAGTGTCTCATCAACATTTTGCAGGACACGTTGACGAGGGTGAGAGTGACATGGAGACTGCTTTACGAGAAACTGAGGAGGAAGCAGGCTTAAAGAGAGAGGATTTAAGGATTTTTGAAGATGCAAAAGCAGAGTTGAGGTACAATGTCAAAGGAAAACCCAAAGACGTTATTTATTGGTTAGCTGAGCTCATTAAGGAGGAACGTGACGCTCGCTTATCAAGTGAGCACCAAGACTTTGCGTGGCTTACGCTTGATGAGGCCTGCAAGCTCTCCGGCTACGAGGACATGCAGAAAATACTACGTAAATTCGATAAATACATTGCTGAGAATCTTCAGTAGGTTTTCAACTCGTTGAGAAATCGATTGATTGGATGTATGATTGTCATAAATGGGAAATATTGTATAGCAATGTTTGTTTTGATTTTTTGACAAGCACATGGAATTCCATGGACTAGTGTTGGCAGACTTGTTTCATAGAATTCTTGGAAGACAAGACGCATGCGTGGGTATTTAAAGCGCTATTGCCAAGTTTAAATTTCAGAATCATAAGTGCGGAGTGTAAATCCCCGAAGAGGCACATTGAATTTTAAAGAACAGGCTTTCCGATACTATTTTCAATTCCAAAAATTAATACCGTGCTCAATTTTTCCTAAAATTTCAGAAAATCTTGTCATTGAAAAATCATGAAATTTTGCACTGCACAGTTTCCGCGATATTAAACTCTAAAAAATGGAATTTCGTGAAAGCAGTTCTTATTTGATTCAAACAGTTATTGTTGTCTGCATCAACAACACGTGAGGATAGAAAACCTCAATAACTTCTGAGAATACAATAAATTAAGTCATTTAGAATTTTTCCCGGAAATACATAGGGATTGTCTCGGGATATACCTTGAACCCGCGTCGTAATAGCATGTACTCGATCATCATTTGCAATCATGTGCCCTAGTTCGACTGAAATTCCCGCAAAAAAATTAATTTAAAGTCCCCCGGAATTCGATTTAAATACTTACCGCCACCGTGCGCCATCTCCCCCCGCTCCCAGAAAATCCGGCAACGTCGCTCCACCTCGAAAACTGTCCGCGGAGTGAGGAACCCCCTCGCCGCTAGTATGGTCGTCAGCTGTTTAATTTTCAGCCAGTGGTGGGTGAGTTCGCGTCTGTTATTTGTCTCCCCCCGTTGGTGCAAGTGCCTCGCCGAGCTCTGGGGCATTCACTTGATCCTCAGCTCTCCAACTCTTCACTCTCCCCCAACAGATTAACGTTCAAGTGTTCAGTGTATGTTTCCTTTGTTTATCTCACCGTTGCTCCTTTATTTAACCCCCATTTTCGTTATTTTATTTAGCGAGTTGCATTGCTATACCAACAAGGTAAAGTGCAAGCGTTGAGTCGATTTCCGGGATTGCGCAAAGGCAAACGAGTATCGCATACACGGGAAAAAAATAAAATCGTGAACGGGAGGAAGAAAGAAAAATAACGGAGGGAGAGAGGAAAATAAGAGCGTCTGCTCTGTCTCGTTATTTATTTGTGCTCATCACTGGCGAGAGGAATTATTCAGTTTGAGTGTTTGTGATAAATTAAAGGGTTTTATAACCTGTGAATTATGGCAATGCCAACGAGCAGCGCTGTGAGGGCACTTGCCCTGGAGTATAAGAGCCTTCAAGAAGAACCTGTCGAGGGCTTTCGCGTTAAACTTGTCAATGAGGACAACATGTTTGAGTGGGAAGTCGCAATTTTTGGACCGCCAGATACACTTTATCAAGGTGGATATTTCAAGGTTAGTAAGATTTTTTTCCTGCTCAAAAACATTCATCAATCGCTTTCGCGTTTTTTATTTATTTTTTTTTCTCGCTGACCTGCTCCTTTTTTTTTAATGTAATAATGAAGAATTTCGCGTTGGAAACTGTTACTCATTCTTCCCATTGAGTTGACGTGAGCAATTGCAGTTTCACGTTGTTTTCAAATCGACACTTTGACAAAGCACTCGTGTCTATGTGGCGCTGGTGTGACCTCATCGCTTTTATTCTTTGTGCAATCTATGCTAAATTCAAACGATCTATGTCGCATTGGATAAACACTGGAAGAGTCCGATCAAGTTCTTGGTAGCGAGTTTTATTTTATCACCAGGGGAAGAAGGAGGGAACAGCGATTTTGCGTAAATTGTTACATGACCTTGACCAATTTATGCTATAGAAGTGTATGAAAGCATGTCATTCTGACTGCACGACCAACATGGATTAACGAGAATATCTTCTGACCTTATTTTAATGTCGTTGAAGGCTCATGAACTTGCAATAGCTCCAACTGTTCTTCTCGATGTTTTCATGATTTGATTTCATTGATTACTTATTCATGAATGGGAGGAAATAATTGTCATTGGATACTTTATGCACATTATCTTGCAAACATCTCTGGCATCAGTACGTTTGAGGTGTTTTTTTCATTTGTGACGAATTCTGGACGAATGAAAGTGATCGATATATATCAGTGCACAATATCCATTACAAGAGATTCATTAGATTCATTTTACAAGCCAGTGTGCTCTCATTTTCAAGACTTGCGAAATGGAAAGGAAGTTGGACTTCCTCGGGATCGCTATGATTTTAATGAAATGCTACAGCTGACCAGATTTCTTCCCAGTTCGAGGGAGTTTGAATACATCAGAAATTCAGAGCAGTATTCCTTTCTTTCTCTCTGATAAATATATGGAGATAGATACCTTTCGGGTAAAACGACGAAGATAGTGGGGGCCAAGTGAGCCAGGCATTCCCGCTATTTTTGTACAGTAGCACGAGTCTTGCGTTTTACATTTTGTATTTGCAATTGTTAATTATTTTTACATTCGTAATTTCTTAAATTTTTCTAAGAAGAATAATTAGTTGTAATGATGCACTAACTCCTAGATCTTTTTACTTTTTCAAGTATATTAGGATTGTTCATGTGAGGATTTCGTTACGTTTCGTGTGAAAAATATGTCAATTCCTGCGTTTGAATCAAACATTCTCTGGATACATTTCTAGAGCGTATTTCAAGGAAAAATGTTGAGAGGTCTTTTGATGGAGTTTAACAAAACTCTTCGTCTCCTAGATAATCACTCATTCAATATAGATTTTAATACTTCGTAAATCTCCGTTGATTGCGCATTTATCTAGGCAACGAGCGTTTTAAGACAACATGCCAAGAGACGTATTGTCAAGTTGAGAGGGTTTTTAATATCAAAGTTCAGTATTGAATTGGATTAATAATCCATTAGGAAAGCTCTGATCTACTTTATTTTCAATTTTTTCTTCTCGAAATTCCACGAATTTGGTTAAAATACCCAAAAATGGCGTTGGCTTTGATTATAAATAGTATGAAGTGAATTTAAATGTATACTTAAATGTTACATATTTTTCTGATAAAAGGGTGAGGGTCAGTCGTAGACTCATTTACCATGGAACACCTCATATAATTTGCCATTATCCTGGCTTAATATTGATCAACGCATCGATCTGCAATGTTGTCACGTATTTCCCTCCTTTCCTGAATAATTAAACAAGTCAGCACCACAACACCTCACCTCGAGGGATTTGATTATCCAACCGATTGTACTTAAAAATCAAACTGTTAAAACTAAAAAAAAAATCGCAGCAATACGGGTTCTCAACATGAGATAGGAATAATTTTATTGCTCCACTTTTTTTTTTAATAATTCGAAGCATCGATAAATGGATCTTGCATCGGGTTAGGCTTGCGGGCCGCTTTCTAAACCAGTCTCCGCATCGTTGGCCCTAAGAGAACGTTTATATAATGCTCCAAACGGTGCATCGTTGCACTCGGTGATTTTACTTCAGCATTTGTAACATTAGTGTTACAAACTCGGAGGGTTCAGCGATTTTCAAATGTTATTCGATTTGATTATATAACAATTTAATGACTCGCTTGAATTTTTGGGCGCATTAACAGAATGTTGCAAAGAACGGGCATAAATCTTTTTTGTGGATATCCAAGTACTTTGGCTCTTTTTTCTCCAGTAAAATGATTTTCTATTTTTGTAATCGAACATTAAAGCTTTCATTTGAGCTCCATTTGACCCTAAGTTTCCAGACATTTTACAATGATTTTAATATTTAAACTTTGCAGGTCTGAGCTTGAATCTCGATATTGAAAAAAATGAGAAAGTTAACTTTTGGTGAGAGATTGATGAAAAATGGAAAAATTGCAATTCTTAAAAATTATGAGTATTTTCTATAAATATTTTATAACGATAATTTTTCCACTATAAAAATTTATTCATATTTGGAATTAAACATGGGGACAATATTTAAAAAAACGTGTTTTCTGAGGGTATACCTTAACTGAAATTGCCCGCCCCCGACATTAACAGTGCCAAACCTTTTGACTATCCGGGACATTTTATGCGTGAACAAAAAACCAATGGAAATTGGCGAAAAATCAATGAGAACCAATGAAAAATTCATGTATTCTTTCGGTGAGTTATTCTAGATAACTTACCCTTTCACCAGCTGTACAACGCCGAATGGGTGGGTAGAACCTGGGAAGAAATAATGTTGTATATAAATAAAAGCAGAAGTGAAAAAATATGAGACTTGGTGTTGCGTAATAATAATATAAAACCAAAAAAATTTATGAAAAGAATGTTCTCTTTTCAAATGCTCTCTCTTCTTGTCCTCTTTTGCTCAAGCAGTCTCACGCTCCAGTTTTCTCGGAAAGACGAAAAATCTTTATTCCCTATTGTTTTTATCATTATTGTCTTTTAAGGTATATCCCAAGACAATCAATCCCAAGGTATATCCCGAGACAAATGTAAGGGTATATCATTACCCTTACATTTCACTCGGTATTACACCAAACTCAATGAATACTTGAGGAAATCAATTCCACGATTTTAATCTTGGGTAGAGAAAAACTAAGACGAAAGTTTCAAGTGAATTTGTTACATGCTGTCGTTTACTCTTGTAACCAAAGTAGGTCAGACAAAAATGTCTAGCTGTGTGTTTTTTCTTTAATAGCGAGTGAAGTAACGGTCCTGGGGTCTCAGATTCGACGATGCGCAAACTTCAACGGGACTCATCAGTCAAACAATTTTTACTCCTGTTATTATTATTTTCATTTCCTTGTGAATTATATTCTAAAGGAAAATGGTTGGCATTCATTTTCGTGACCTCGTAACCTGAAATATGGGGCATGAGAAGGGGCCACGAGTTATATTCAGTGGAAAAATGGTAGCAGCAGTTTGGTTCGTAACGATTGTGGAGATCTTTTTCTGAATACCTTCAAAGCTTTGAGGAAGCTCACTCCGAGGCCCTTCTCAATAAGTTCTCTTAACTTCTTTCTGTAAACTCGTTATAAATATTCGCGCAAGGAGCTTATGTTATATTCTTCATTTATCTTCTCTTAAAAATATCAGGGAGGAAAATTGATGGGTCGATTTGAATACTGTCTAGGAATATCGATTTGAATAAGTCTAGGGAGAGCCATTAAGGGCTCATTTTTAGACATTGTCCTCAAAATGTACTGGTTCCTGAAGTATTTTTGGAAATTATTTTGCATTGCAAAATAAAATATACCAATTCAATTTACTATAATACAACTTCCACGAAATTTCAAAAAATTTCCAACAGCGAACGAATTCGCCAAGTTTTTTTATTGAATTTTTTCACAGGTGATACTCAAACTCATAAAGAGAAGTAGGTTAATTCCAGAGATCTGTCCCGAAGGATGGCCGGGATATTTGGGCCACGGGAAGGTCGATCAATATAGCGTTCCCGTTTCCAGTTACCAATGCCACTCAATACAGCATCGTCAAATCTCCTCTTTTCCATTTGTTATCATTACTCAACATATTTTCATCGCAACTGATATTTTCTTTTGCTGTAGTTTTCCTTTCTCAAATTTATGAGGTATGAAGCGCGATGGAACTACCTCCATTCGCTTCATTATTTATTATTATTATTGTGATGGATTTTTTTTTTGCAGGCACACATGAAATTCCCACCAGATTATCCATACAGTCCACCCAGTATTCGCTTCATGACAAAAGTCTGGCATCCGAACGTGTACGAGGTGAGTGAACATACACGATTATCGACTTTTTTTTCCTGTCCACAATGCGCTCAGTTGCTCATTCTTTTATTGTTTTTTTCCCTTTATCCCCTGATGTTCATGTTTCGATGCATGCTGCTCCCCGCATTAAGTGTAGCTTTGTATGTATATATTTTTTTCTTTTTTTCTCATTTTAAGGGGTCTCCTCATTTGTTTCTGACAAATAAGGAGAGCTTCTGCCGACCGGAAAGAATAATTAATAAAATAATGAATGACGGAAGTTATCTGGAAAATGTTGAGGCGATTCACCGTGGTTTTTATTATTTAATTAATTCTATAAGTTAATCCTTATAGACATTATGTGGACGAAAAACGACTATTTGGCGCAATTCAAGCACAACAAACTTTTTTGTTAACTTTCTTTATTATTGGGAGTACTGATGGGAATAATAATTTACTATTCTATTGAATGACTGTCTTGAGGTGTACCTTAAATCCCCGAAGATAAGAGTTCCGTAACACTCCTAAAAAATTATATTAGATATTCCTAAAAAAAATATTCGATTTTTTTACATGGTAATTCAGTGAATTTATGTCTTCTTTTTATTCAACTTGAAGAAACTTTGGAATTTCTCGTAGAGAAACGAAGAGAAAAGGCCACTCCAGAAATTTCTGATAGAATTTTTCAAATCATCATTTGTTAACTATGACCTCACTTCTACTTCTCATCATCTTCAACATCAATTGAAATTTATTTTCAAAAGCTCATGCCGATTGAATAGAGAAATAATCCAATTTCTTTCGAATTATCCATAATAGTAGGACAATTCACTTCTATTCACCGAAACATTGCTGAATAATCCTCGTTACAGTCATCTTCTTTAATGACTCTCATCCAGAGACAAAGTTATTATATTGAAGTTATTTTCTCTTTTTTTTTTTCTTATTTTCCGTGTCAGTTGATTCGCGTGAAGCTCGCTTTCTTCGATATATTTTTACACGCGCTTGCGCGTCATACTGCACTGCACTTTTGAGTCTTTCTCGTATTTTTGTCCCTCTCTTTCTCTTCCACTCTGTTGAGTCACGTGAAAGCTTTGACACAAGCCTCATTGACAATATATAATTTTAAACCGTAAATATTTGTAAGCTATTCCCTCATCCAACTTGTAGAAAGTAAAATGAAACTGAAAATGAGAGAACTTGATTGAAAGAGAAATTCCTCGGATTCACTTGGACTTGATATTCCCAAGCGTCTCAGTATGTGCATGAAGATTAAAGAATACACGGAAGAGAATCTGGCAGTCTGCCAGCGGTGAAAAATACCGTTGTCTGTTTTCCCCTATTTTATTTTTTACCCACGGAACAAAAGGTTTATAGCTATAAAAGTAGGGAAAGAAGGAAATAAATATTTCTCATGTGAAATCACGTGGCAATTTCAATGTCTCTTTAATGAAACGGGTTGTGGCTTACTCGTCTTAGTGTTTGACTTTCGATGTTTGCATTCGAATATAAAGAAAAAAAATTATAAATTCACATTATGTTTTTGATGTTGCGAAGTTCACCATATTATTAATTCCCTGAAAATTTCTCAATTCTTATTTTTTATGCAACAACCTTCTTCTCCAGTTCTGGTGAAATCTTGAGGAATAAAAAAATTGCAGTTTACAGTAAATTATTAAAGCATCCTTTATAGTTTCATAGAGACCACACTATAGATTCAACCATTTTTAATCATCAAATTTGTCAATTAAATTGCTTGAGAAAAATTTGAATACATTTTTAGCTAGTAATTATTGCCTAGATATTCGTAGATAAAAAAACTATTCAATTTTTGGGCTGATTTCTTTTGCCACTCTGTTTCTCCAAGAATGAATTCTGTAAAATTCAAGTGAAATTTCTGTTGTTCAAGGAAATCGCCTAGATTTCACAAGATTGGTTTTAACAATTGTCGCGCCGTCAATTCTCATTATCCACTCCTATACCTTTTTTTTTTAAATAATTTTCCGAGGTATAATGTCACCTTGTACGTCAAAGACACTGACGCCATGAAACAGAGGTCATGTCCCTCTCGATAACTACCGTTTCCTCATCCCAAATCCGCCAAGTTGACCCTGATAAACTTAATTTCTTCAGTTTCGTTCAATGTTCACGTTCGTCTACGGATATACCTAAGTTGTAAAGTCTCGACTAAAAATATGTTTGATATCGGTTTTTCTTCAAAAGAATGGCGACTTGTGCATCTCCATTTTGCATCCACCGGTCGACGACCCACAGAGCGGTGAATTGCCATGTGAGAGGTGGAATCCAACGCAGAACGTCAGGTGAGAATAACAGAAATGGCAAAAAACAAAACAAATAAAATATAGAAACCGGTGAAGTAGTTCATTATTAGAGGAGAAATAATCGATGGGACGTTGATAAAAAAATGTATTCATTCCTTAGGACAATCCTGTTATCAGTAATATCACTCTTGAACGAGCCCAACACCTACAGTCCAGCTAATGTTGATGCATCAGTCATGTACAGACGTTGGCGCGATTCCAAGGGCAGAGACAAAGAATATGAAAATATAATCAGGTGATTATTGACTTCTTTGACGGCATTATATAGAATTTAGTTTTTACTGAATGAACGCTTTTGTTGTCTTAATGTCTCAAATATTCTCACGTGAAACATAGTTTTTCGGCAGAGCTAATTTTTTCTCTCAGTGAACTTAAGAAGTATGGGATTTTTGTTGAATAGATTATTTGGAGAAAAAAACTGTCAAAAGATTGGGTTTGTAGAATTCTCGTCGATTCGTTCCCTAGAAATTTACAAAAATACACTCTTACAGTTTCTTGCAGAAATAACTATTAATTTGTCACAAAATCGTGTCATCGACGTATTTGACTTGAATCAATTGGTTACGAGTAATTAAAAAAATATCAAAATATTGAACAAACTGGGAAAATTAATTTGATTCATCCTCTCACCCCAGAAAACAAGCTCAAGCAGCGAAGGTGGAAGCCGAGAGAGAGGGCATAGTGGTACCACTTACGCTTGAAGATTACTGCATAAAGACCCGTGCAAGGCCGGCAGAACAGCCACTTGATATGACTGATTTCTACGATGATGAGTATGAGCTCGATGATGATGACGGCGACGGACTCAGTGTCAGCGATTACGAGGATGGCGATGACAGTGGTAATGGCGAGTCGTGATCAATTTCGTAGTTAAGTACGAAGAAAAAATGAGACGAATAAAACAGAAAAAGTAAAAAAAAACCTCGAAATATACAACAAAGTAAAGTAACAATGGAAGAAAATAGTATATTACGATACAAGGGAAAAAAGGAGTTGCTGACGAGGGTGAAGGTTTACACTCGTCGGAAAGTACATTTTTTCGTATGTATCGTACGATATTTTATGATACTCGTGACGAAAAGGCGGTTCTTTGAGCACGAAGCGTGCAAAAAGTGCCCTTTTTTCACTTACATCATAAAGAATTTTAACGTATGATACTGGTGATGCCATTTATCCAGTCCTGTACAGATTGATAAATTAATGATCTTCTGAAGGAGAAAAATAAATTTGGATAAATAATGAAATGGAAATTGATCTGGATAATTAAATAAATATAAAAGAATGAATAAAAAATGTGACAAAATGTAAAATATAACTGTTTCATCATCTCTTGTTCTCAATCGTATTTAATACAAGCAAAGAGTGATGAAAGAAATTGGCAGATTATTCCGGAAATATCTTACAAGAGTTTCAAAAAATCATTTGAGGAACATGATTTGTAGAAAATGTAATAGCGGGCAGAATAGGCCGTTGAATTTTCCCTCTGAACTCATTGGTTTTCGAACTATTGGCTAATTTCTGTGAAATTTTTCGAATGACCATTGATCAATATTTATCCATATTCCATTTCTCCAACCCCCATGTTAGAAGCTCCTTAGCTTAAGCAGCGATACGGTTTATAGATAACGAAACTAATATCTCAAAACAGTGCTTTGTTCCTTTCAAAATAAAATCCATGGTGAAATAATGTTGAATATTTCATCTAGAATTTTAAAATAACTTGTTTTTTGTCGAGCGCTTGAAAAGCGACATCGATGTCACTGACAATTCTTAAAATAATATAACAAGTTTGTTTAGTCCATGAATTGAATAGAAGACAATTGAATTTTTGTCTATTTAGAAGTAATTTTTGTATTACTGCCCTCAATCGAAGGATGAAGGCGACGTTTGTGTTAATATAGTTTATCACTTGACCTTTTTATTATTATTGTTTTTCCTCGATATCGGATTAAAATTAATCAAGATTCGTAGTACATTTTCTTGTTAATGAGCGTGGGTTTTTTATTGTCTGTATTCAGCGCGCATGATTTTATTCAAAACAATAAGTTTATTTTGTTTTTTGCTTCAATGTTCATACCATGCATTTTTATGCGATGACTATCATTTTTTTTCGGAGTCGAATGGATTTTGAGTAAAACAATTGCATTAGAACTTTTTTTAAGTGGATAAACTCGAAACGATTGATCATTTTATTCTGCTTTGACAAATGGAAAAAAATTAGAAGCAGCGAATTTAGTGGCTCTGCATCAAATGCGAGACCTTATAAATAAAAGAATTTTAAATATTGAAATTATTATTACAATAAAATGAATCACAATATTGAGACATGTATCACCCTTTCAATTGACTAATTTTTTCTTCTCTATTTTTATTTCATATAACTCAAGTACGAGAAAAATCAAGAGGAAGAAATAAAACTCCAAAAGGATCTTAAAAAAACAATTAAGAAATATTTAAATGTAATAATAATAATAATGTGTGGACATGTACTCAGTGCTTGAAGTAGTTTTTAGATGAATTTTCCTCGTTCCAAAAAAAGAAAAGTGAAATCAGGCGTAGAATCTCATTCCGTTAAATCAATTAATTAGAAAACATTGAAAAAAAATTTTTTTTTTATCAATTCAGAGAATAGAAAAATCAACAAATTGCCGTAAAAATCAAATGATTTGTATATTTCGTGAGAATGCAAATTTATCCCCTCTTTTTGTACATATCAAATAAAGATCTCTTCATAAAATTGACTGTGAAATATTATACAAATTATTGGCAATATCAGGTCGTATTGCTAGGATAATCCCCTCCTTTTACCGCAATGTTGAATAATCACAAAACAGAGTCAAACGTCTGGTCTCGCAGTGTTCAGCGATATCCTCCCATTAAACAATGCTCGAAGGTAAACGAACATTTTGAAGGGCGCTCGCAAGACAATTATTCACAAATTCATCACCGGGAATACCCACTAATAAATTATTTTTTGGTGTACAACTCTCAGGCACAAGTTTAGTGATGAGAACCGTGTATCCACACTCCTCAGCCTGCGTTTTCCTATCGCCATCGATAATCCTCATGCACCGATACCCCTGTTTGGTCTTGAGATTCTTCTCATCGTGGGTCTGATCAGCTGCATGCCCAATTACCAAATAATCCCTCAACTTGATAACCCTTTTGAAAACGTTGCTCCTTGGATACGAAATATTAAGACAATCCTGTACAGACCCATAGCAACAGGGACAGCAGACAAAGACAGCATTTCTCCTGATGCAATGTTGAATAACCAAATCAGTTGCAACACCACATGCATGCAGAGAAGTTCCGATGTCAAATTTTCCCTTGAAATAATCAAGATTGCATTGGTAAAACCGGACATTATCCAATTTCAATTTCTTAACCCTCAATTTTGATCTATTCAGCGACTCCTCCTTATTCTCCAGTAGAATAACAGTGCAATTCTTCCTCAAATACGCGATTAATATCCCCAGATGTCCGCTCCCAGAGCAAAAATCAACAATAACATCTCCAGGCTTAGCCAATTTCAATACAGGTCTGCAGAGATTCTCCAGCTGTTGGAATTTTCGTTTCGATCGTGTAGAGGGCAGAGACCCCCCATCAGGATTCGCTTCGAAGGGGATCTCCCCCCAGTCAATCTCAATCTCTGCGCCCAGGGACTCACTGCTCATCCCCAAATCAACTCCAGTATTTTCTATTATCTTCATGGAGTTTTCCACGTCCTCCTGTTTTGTGTAAATCTTATTCCGAGGTTTATATCGCTTGACATCGCTCTTGTACAGACTCTGATTGGGTAAATGTTCAGAGAAATACTCGGTATTCAATGGGGGTGCGAATTCAAGGGCTATGAAGCTCAGACATTTACTCAAATGCTCATCATTCATCATTCTGTGGTGCCACTTGGCAGTTAATGGAATAAGCTCGAGCACTCGAGGATTTGTGACAATTCTGAGGTAGACAGTGATGCACAGAAATATGATGACGTCTGCTAATGTCATGAAGGATCCCTCTGCGTAAAGATGCTCGGGCAGAACACGCTCCTGCGTTGCTGTTCCATCACTGGAGAACTTCTTCGACATTGTGTATTTATAGATGTTGTGGAGTCGAACTGGCTGACACATGTGGACTTCGAATCTCGCCAATGTTTCCGGTATTTCTCCAGACGAAGTGGCAGGATATTCCATTGTTCTCAGGGTTGAGATGAGTTCTACCTCGCAGAATCTTGTCCAGGGGCTGGACTCGGAGGGAGCGAGCAGGCTGGAGGTCTTGAAGCCCAGGAGGTGTCTGCAGTGGTGTTCGGGGGATTCTGCGATGGAGAGCTTGATGATCTGGCGCAGGCAAGCGCAGAGACCAGCCACTAGACTCATACTGTTGAGCTTTAGGTTGGGGAGTTGACAGGAGTCCGCAATCTCCGGAATTTCATCGGCATTGAGTACTTTGTAAGAGAAGTTCTCGACCGTGATTGGATACGCGTTCACCTCGATCGGCTGTTTTGTGAGGACGAAGGTGATCTCGAGCCTCGAGTCGCAGTATTGCATCGTAAAGAGGACCACGAGGGTCTCTATTGGTGCGAAGAATTCATCTCCTTCGGTGGAGAATAACTCCAGGTAAATTTCCTCCATTTTTTAGCTAATTCAGGTGATGGAGCATTGGGGGGACTATCATACGCTAGCTGTTCGTAGTTGGCGAGCTACTTTTCGGATTATTCGCTTGCGGAGGACGTTTTCCCTCAAGAATACTGTGAGACAGGAGAGGATGGAGAGGGCGAACATGGAACCTTCGAACTTTAGGAAGGCGTTCTCCTCGAGCCAGGCGACTCTGTCACAACTGAAAATATTTGAAAGAGAAGTGAGGGGGCATTATTTTGACTTTTTACATGAATATCAAAGTTACCTTCGAATAATCTTCTCTCCAGTCTTGCACTTGATCACCTCCTTGTACCTTGCATAGACGCAGACACCAATGCTCTCACTGGCAATTTCAAATGCAGTGCACGGATGGCACTCATCAATTACCTCATACTGTCCACTATCAGCGCACGTGTTATTGTGCTCAAAATTTTCGACAAACGGTTTACTGCTCGTGCTCTCGGTCCAATGGCTCTCAACAATCAGCGCAAGAACAGTTAACCTGAAAATCCAGATAATCACCAACGAAAAATATGAGCGAAAATAACCTAGAATATTTAACTCCTCTGAATTCATCAACTCACCCTCCTAATAATGTGATACCCAATAACATGCGCTTTTTCGTGCAAGATTCAATCATTTCGTTCCAACTGATTCATCAATTCCAGTTTTATATCACTTCAACAATTGTTTTAGCTATAATGAAATTGACCTTGAATACGTGACAGTGTAAACTCCACTGGCCTGTGGCCACATTACACGACAGCTGGGCTGGTAAAAGGGCGGAGGGGGCGCCATTGCTTGCCCACATCTCACTCTGATTATTTTGTTTCTCAGTTGATACTGTAGCGTCAATTCACGAGTCAGTTTTCGCTTTGACAGAACGGAGTGCAGGTGTGCTCCGCCGATGCTCATTGTGTTGCTCAAAATTCACCAGTACTGAGCATTATTCATAAACATTTACATGAGTCAATGAGAAAATTCATTGACAAAACTGGTGAGTAAACAGGAAAATGGAGAGTAACAGGTAAATATAATTATCTCGTGCTCCATTCATTCGACAATAGAATTTTTGTCTTCGAGTCACAGCTCAATTTCCGGACGATTTCAACTTGCACTGGATATTCCATAAATTAAATGAACATTGCTCTGATTATTTCACCTTTCAGTAATATTACTCGCGTATAATCATACGATCAATTATTTTTTCTATCAGCGACATTTAATGAATGAAAAAATATGGCTCAGTCCGCTCAGTCGTCTAGAAATTAGGGGCCTCGGCTGCATTCAACTACTTCTTAATTTAGTTATTCTTCGTTTTGTTATTTTCACTTCAAATCATTTTTTTCTGCTAATTAAAACATTCCTGAAGGACTTCTTGGTTTTCATCACATAATTACCAAAAGCTAAATTATTTTCAATTTAGATGATTCTGAAATGGCTCAATTTTTTATGAATAACGTGGGCAGCGCGTGGAGAAGGTCAAAGCCCTGAAAACAGGAAGTTATCTAGTTCATCTTCGAACTCGGTCAAAAGGAGATTCAAACAATTTTTTTAAGACATCATTCAATCAATTCAGAACATTATTTCAGTTATCATGAAATTTTTTTAAAAATTTAATAATTAATAAATGAGTTAAATTTTAATTAATGGGGATTGATAGGGCTCAACAATACCTACATTTGAGGATAAAAGAAATTCAATTCGAACGATAACAGTGCTTCCATTTGGAAATAAAAAATATAGAGATATGAGAATGTCGAATAACTAGGCAAAATTTCTAATGCTATTTCTTTGATTTCATCACTTAATCCCCGGCGCTAGATTATTTTAAATTTAGATGATTTTGAAATGGCTCATTTTTTTAATGAATAACGTGGCCGGCGCGTGGAGAGGGTCAAGACACTGGAAACAGGAAATTATCGGGTCATTGCGTTTTGGCGTTAGCACTATTCTCTAGACTCTTTCGATATCTCTTTTAATTAGAAAAATGTAGAGATATGAGAATGTCGAATCATGAAGAATATTTCATTCAGATGACGAGAGGGGATTTGTTGTTGAGAGGTGAGGAGTGAAAAATTGAACCAATGAAGTAACAGAGTGCGGAGATATCATAGTTGAAAAGGGCTGGAATCCGTGATATTAGGGTCAAAGATACTGCCTGGTGCAATTTCAGTTCACTTTGACATTCATCAGCGGTAATAATGGATGGACCTTGCTTAGCGGAATCTATCATGGCACCTATGCAAAAGTTGCGAGGCCTTAAAGAGTGAGTGCAATCGTCTGTTTTTTAATAAATTTTTTGTGGGGCACATTTACTCTGTTTCGCTGTATAATTGTAGCTGTGTGGGAAGCCTTAGGAAGATAAAACTATTGGAGTGAATTATATAATTCAATGTTGGATATAGTGACGAACATTGTTGCTTGGTGGTGTGATATTGCTCATATCATTATTGGATTTTGAAGGAGCATTGAGTTGGTATCAGTTGCTGTTGTTAACAGAGAACGTTTTCATTCAACTTGCTCATTGAAACTGGCATTCTAAAGCAATGAGTTGAAATTCACACATTACATTGTGATTGATTAAAAAATCCTGTAGGCAAGGAAATTTGCTAGGACGAAAACCTACACTGGCAGAAAAAATTAATTTTATCAAGAGAATAATTAATTAATTTTCAAATAAACATGATTTCGTACTGAATACCAGTTATCTCTTCTTGAGATACATTTTATTGGGAGAAATCCAACTTCTCTAGAATTGAAGTTCCTTTTATTTGTCGCAATAATGAGAGTATTGGAGTATTGGAGTATTCTCTCTAGCCAAAAGTTTGCCAACTCCAGAAATTTGTTGGTTTACTGAAAAATTAAGAATCTGAAAATTGTTTCAAAGTAAAGGAGAGGGAATTTTTTTCCCATGAAGAATAACAAAGGTTCTTTTGACTTTTATTAGCATAAAGTGGATGAATTCCCGTGCCACCACGAATAAGGCTTACACACCAACGTGCATTGAACACTGTGCGAATATAATGACCCATGGAATTTGGATAGTACCAGCATTATTCGCTAGTATTGAATTGCTGAGAAGATCCATGACCTCTACTCAATTGATTTCAGCATTGGTCTATGGAATTGCTCTCCTCCTCCTGTTCTTAGTATCAACTTCGTTCCATACGATGCATTACTGCGATCACAAGTAAATAATCTATTAACTTACGGAAATACAATGCTCTATAAGTATTGCAATGAAACCTTTTTTAATCTGCAAAATTAACATTATCAAAAGTGATACCTCCCGTTTCTCTTAGGGTATTACAGCTAGTCGAAGTGACAACTTCGACCTTGTGGTGATAAAATAGACTTTAAACTTATTAAATTTTACGGCTTCATGCCATAATTCATTAGTTTTAATTTAATTGTAATTTTCAACTAACGATTTTGTCGGCCCAAACAAGACTTGTTTGAGAACTTGGTCGTTTTTCTCTCAGTGTAGCACAATGAACTATTTTTTAGACAATGGAAAGACGTTCTCCATCGATGCGATCGTGCCATGATCTATGTGTTCATTGCTGCCACATATTTTCCATGGCTGATGGTAGAGGATTTCCCTGACAATGAAATTGTACCAACAATGCGATATTTAGTGTGGATCATGGCAACTATTGGAATTCTGTATCAACAGATGTTCCATGAGAGGTACAAAATGCTCGAGACTATTTTTTATCTTATTATGGGTGTCGGTCCCAGCATCGCTGTCATTACAGTGGTAAGTAAAAAACGAACGTAATAATAATACAGTCCAGTCTCGACCTGAATCCATGCCGAGTGATATTCCCACTTTCTGGCTTGAATGTTCTTCGTTTCGTATTCTCCGTACAAGATACAAATTGATTCATATCATTTGAAGAATGATTTGTTCAAGAGAAAATAATTGTTACTGAAATCTTTTTAAACTTTGTACAGAATAAATTTGACAATATCAGAGAACTCAAGACTGGGGGATTCATCTACATAGCTGGTCTCATATTCTTCAAATCTGACGGGAGGATACCTTGTGCTCACGCTATTTGGCATATATTTGTGACGGTGGGCGCTGGGTTCCATTATTACGCGATTCTGAATCATCTCTACCCATTCGTCCAGAGCGGTCATCCGACGTTACCACTGATCGACTGGCTGGAATCTCATCGCGAATTATAATATCAAAAATCAATTTAGCTAATTAATGTTCGATTCATTGTTTTATGATGAATTTCAACAAATGATTATGGATGCAATTTACGATTTACCACCAAAGAAGGCGATTTCGACAGAATTGTAAATAATCAAGAGAAAATGATCGATTTTTTTAGAACAATTTATTTAATCTGCAATATTAATGATTTATTTAATCTCATTTTTAAGAAACAATTGTTCAATGAGAGGAATAGATTCTGGAAGATGTGGATTTTTATCGAGTCATACTAGTAATTTTGTAATCCGAATCTCATGAAAATAGTGATTTCGTCATTTATTTTCCATTCAGTACCTGACATGTAAAAAGTGCGAGATCAAGTGGATCTTGACAATTTTTTGGAATCTATAAACTAACGATAGGAACTAAGTGGTATTTTCCTTTTGGGAGCAAAAAGACATCTTATACGGCATCTCGATCTGAAGTTTTTCCAATTTTACTCAATAACCTCAGTGTTCTATTAGATTATCTACAGATTTCCTGAATTGTGATCATTTAACGTTTGCTACTTGTGTAAATATTTATGATATTAATGTATGTGCCAAAATATAAAAATTGTGACGTGCTAACTGATTTGAAGTCTTCGAAAAAAAAGGAATCAATATACAAATTTTTCAACCACAAATAATGTCCACTGACTTTTCTTGATCAATCCTGACCTTTTCAAAAATTGATTTTTCGATTAGAAAAAATTCGAATCTCTAATTTTTAGCGGTCGGAGACGAATTTGACCTACAAAATTGAATTTCTGTCGCAAAATCACGCGGAAAACAGTGTGTTTGGTAACTCGTTCCCCCTTAAATGCATAATCAGGGGAGATATCAATGTCTGACCCGACATGTTCCTCGAAATGGCCCTTAAATCTTCCTCTCTTCCTTCCGGAGACCGTTGACACTGAATCCGTAACCATGGAAACATTGTGGTCAACAAAACGTGATCGTTCCCTTTGTTGTTATACAATGTACTGCATCAGGATTGTAAACGTGATGAATTTAAAGTCAGCTGTTGTTATGGAAAGGATAAGAAGATGAAAATAGTGGAAATTATCAATTAAAAAATATGGATCGAGTGGTGGAAAAAGAGTCAACGCTTCCGTTGACGTCTAGAGAGGAGAAATTACCAACGTGGCTGACAGAAATGACTGAGTACGTTTGAAAAGATGATTCATTATTTTTCTTGTTCTGTTGTTTTTGACAAATCATTGCAACTAATTCATAAAAATCGAGGGGTACCGTGAAAGTGATTGTTCGAGTATTTACTTTACCAATGCTTCAAAATTAAAAATTGATATTTTACCAAGTTTTATGACCAATGGGTTCAATTCTTTTAAAGAACTGTAATGAGTGCCCATTTGTATTGAAATTCAAAGATAGAGACAGCTTGTTAACCACACTGGCACTGCCGGCGGTATGACTAAAAGCAATATGAGTACATTTCATCCATTACAGGAACATCAAAATATTGGCACCGGACGCATTGACAAACGAGCTCAATGGAATCGAAGAAGTCAGTAAAATCAACAGACGACCACAAGCTGTAAGAAGACGCAATGAAGATATCAAAAGAGAAAAGCATTTACCAGAGTTCCATTACCGCCCTCGATCGCGAAGAACGATAGAATCACCGAAGAAATCCATTCTCGTAGAGCACCGAAGAAAGTCAAGTGCTGATGTATTATTAAGCGACGAATTGAAAAAATTGAGTACAGGGGGAGAATCATCGGTGACTCCTAGAAAGTTGAGTGCCACTTTACATCGCAAGAAATTGCTGACCTTCGATTTGTTTTCTGACAATGATCAAGATGAAGAATTCATCATTCCGGAATTACCAGAGGGAAGTTTGATAACAGTTGACATTCTGAGCACATGGGGTGACCGTCATTATGTAGGGTTGAATGGCATGGAGATATTTTCGTCGTTGGGGGAGGCTGTTTCATTGAATAAGGTAAGAAAGGGAGGGCTCTCGTCGATATGAAAAATAGAATCTCTTTTTACCGAAGTTAAAAATAATTCTTGAATTTCTCGAAGTTTCCATTCTTCTCTGTAATTTATTATTCTTATACTTATTTTTATGAATATGTTTTTTGTCTTCAGCAATTTTATATAAGTAGAAATGAAGTTGGAGTCAAGGGGAGGTGCACCTCGGGAAAAACCTTGCGTTTTTCGAGGAAAAAACTTAAAAACACTATTTTCCGCGTAATTTTTGTTAAAATGTTGTCCGTAAAAAATATTTGAATTAACAAATATATACAGCAATTGCTACTCCTGGGCTGATTGTCCAAACCGACAGCACTCAAACACAACACAAAAATAAAACTGATCGGATTGCGGTTGATACTTATTTTTGTTAATATGCTTCATCTAGATATGGTCGCAGTTGGATGATTCTAATGAACCTTCGGACGATCCTGCTCTTACCAATTTGATCAATGGTATTTACCGAACGCGTGATGATCTAAATATGTGGCATGCTCCCTATAAGCGAGGGAGACAAATTTCAGTTCACATGGAATTATCGAAGAGAGTTAATATCGGACTAATTAGGATATGGAACTATAATAAGTCGAGGATACACTCGTATCAAGGTGCCAAAGATGTCGTCATTAAGTTAGACGATGTTGTTATATTTTCTGGAGAAATTGCGCGAGCTTCTGGCGATGTCGCTGGGGATATAAATTCTTTCGGAGATGTGAGTGAAGAATTTTTCTTTATGTTCATTGAGAATGTGTAACTTGAATCGATTAGAGATCATGTCGGATTCTCGGGTGTTCTAGAAAAGTAGAAAACATTGAGGTGCTTCCTTCAAATTTTCTAGAAAATATGAAAACAACTCTCTGTGAAACAAAAGAATTTTCTGGATTTTTCGAATTGTTCAGAAAACCCGAGAGTATTCCAGAAAGCTCTAGAATTTTCTAGAAGTGTCTACGGCGCATACCAAAGTATAACTTACAGCCTAAAGCTGATTGGGGACTCATAATCAATAGATTAGGGAACTATTTAATAGTAAAAATACAATTGAAATCTCTTCAATCGGTTGCGTGTATCGCGGCCAAATAATGAGCAACAGATTTAGTACATTCAAGATTTTCATCTTTGAAATTCAAATTATGTTTATACTACTTCAATTCTAACATACTGATGTAATTTCCAAATTATTATTCAACTCAGTTGAGAGTGAAATGTATGAACGACTGGTTGTGAGATTGATTTATGCCAATGTTTGCAGACAATTTTATTTACAACGGATGAAAACATTTTGGAACTAATTTCCCGAAACGATCGTATATTTCATGAGTTTATGGATTACTCAGCGTCCCAGGGAATAGAAATGGACAGGCCCGTCACAGGAGCAACTGAGCTAGACGTTATACCAACGATAGAAAATCCAATCATGTCATCTGGTAGTATTACTGATAAAACAATGTCGGTTGCATGTAGAGAAATAAAACTATTGCTATTATCCAATTGGAACGATTCTGACATGATAGGTAAATTGAAATTATGTGCGATGATACGCGTGACGAAGGACATTCTGACGTTTCATGAGGAAATTCTTATGTCTGCAGGGTTAAATGGAATTGAAATTATTGGAGATCAGGGCAATATACCTGGGAGCAAGATCTCATTGCACTGTAACATAGAGGATGAAGGGATATATCGGTTACTAGACCAAAAGAATTTCACGATGGAGTCCAAAAATATGTGGATAATCCAACAAATTCCTGATGTCATTCCTGAGATAATGATTACATTCAACACTGAGGTGTTTATCACTGGTATAAGAATATGGAATTATAACGGATCATTGGAAGCATCTTATTGTGGAGTGAGTACCTCACTGTCTCCACAAAGTTTACAGCTCGTAAGACATTCTTTCGTAGACGTATGAAAAAATTCAATAGAATACCTAGCGAATTCGCTAGAAAATTTTGTTGGAATTATCGGTAGGAATTTTTTTTCTGATCAAAAATGGTCAGTAATTGGCTTTCGGTCGGTGACGTGTAATTTACGTGTGTCAGCTTTATCCGTTACATCCCTAGATATTACCATCGATTCTTAATTCATTTGCTTATCAATATTTCACTAGGTGAAACATTTAATGATTGAATTAGACGGGAAAAAGCTCTTTGGTGATAATTTTGAGGGCTTCATCATCAGAAGAGCACCGGGATTCTGCCACTATAATTTTTCGCAGGAAATCAGTGTCATTCAACGACCGAAAACAATGAGTAACAGTACCCCATCAAAATCTCATCTGCAGACTCTTGATTTACTGGATGATATCAACTATGAGGCACCACCAGTGCCGGAAGGCTTCGTTTATCAAATCGTTATATTCTCTTCGTGGGGAGATGCCTATTACGTTGGTCTGAATGGAATTGAATTTTTTGATGCCCAGGGACGCTCAATTCGTTTAATTAAAAAAAGTATGTATTCTCCTCGTGAAAAGAAATTTTATCAATTATCTATGGATTCGATAAGTTACACCCATCCACATAACAAATTAAATTTTGTCAGATGTCGCTGCGTATCCAGAAAGTGTCAATGTAATTGAAGGAATTGAAAATGATATACGAACTCCGGACAAACTAGTTGATGGAGTTAATGATAGTGCAGATGGACAACATTCATGGCTTGCCCCCATTTTGCCAGGAGAGATAAACCGCGTTTACATTATTTTCGATTATCCAATGGCTGTTTCGAGAATCAAGATATGGAACTACACGAAAACATCGTCCAGAAAAGTTAAAGAATTTGGGGTAAGCGTTTTCCAATTTCTACGACGTGAAAAATATATGCAAAGGAAATTCATGAAACCTTAATCATTTCAGATACTTGTGGATGATCTTTTAGTATACAACGGAGTATTAGAGAGGAATGACCCTTCAGGGACTGTTCACTTCAATAGAAATCCTAGTGAGCCACGCAAATTATCGGGCAAATTAAGAAAGTATGTTAAAATGTTAAATGATTCTTTGAAACTAATAGTTCAAGTACCCTGGTTTTTATCAGTTTTGGATCAGAAATATAACGCTTATTTGGATCCACACACATGAAAAAATTTAACAGAAAATCTTAGCCAATTCAAATTGACCCATGGTACCAATTCCACTTATCTACGAAAATAATCAAACAATTGTCGTGTGTTTCAGCTCGGACCAAGAAATTCACTTGTTAAATTTAGAAAATGTTTCGACACTTGGAGACGATACATTACCTGATCCTCTTCTTCGACCGTATACCTCAATGTTGCCAAAAAATTCACGCAATTATTCTGTATAAATTATATACTTTTCAACATGATTTTTTCCTTGTATCGATATCGACAATGAAATAAGTATAAATAAATATGAGTATCTTGTTCATGTTATTGAATCGCTTTCAGAAAATTAATTGGATATGAAGTTTTTTAAAATTCATAGTAGTCTCCTTTAACTAATATTTCCAAATACGGAGGAGAAACATGTCTAACAGCAGAAGATTTTCAATTTCCCTTCCTATTTGAGATTATTGTCATCGCTCCATGCATATTCCCCCAAAACATCTTCAAATGGAAAAAGACGCGATTGGTGGTCAGCTGTGTTTGACATATTTACTATCCAAAACAAGTAATCAGTAATCTTTACACATCATAATGTTGAAGAATTTAAGCGATATGTGGACAGCCACATTTTTACGAAGGACATGAGTCATTTTGTAACTATTAAAAGTTATTATTTTTGAGGGTAAACATCCTCGGTATTTTTTAAGGTTAGTGTTATTCAGTGGAAAATTTAGACAAACATGGATTTCCTTCAATCCGAGTTACATATTCCTCGTAAATATTTACTAACAATTGATGGAAGAATTCATGCAACAGTCCACAAAAACTGGTTATCGAGTTTACAAAATATAGGTCGAATCGACTTTATTCTTCATGAACGATTGTCAGCTGATGAAATTATAGCACAACCGTCTTTAGATGAATTGGGACCCAATTGGACAAGAATTTATGTGAAGGTAAATTCTCAATCTCCTTGATGTTACAAAAGTTTTTCTTTGTATTACATCTACACATGCCTCCCCCCTCCTTCATCTTAGAACTGAGTGTGTAGGCCTCTCCTCCTTCACGGGACAACAACAATAATTTTAAGAAATCAAATACTAATTAAAATTTTGCCTTGCGCCTCAACCTCAAGTAACAATTCTTCCTCAATCAAGATATATACTGCCATACCGCCAAAATTACGTTTTCTCTCCAAGACGTCCACCTCAGCTTTGCATTCGCCATAGCCTCCTCCCCTCAGTATTTAGCTTCGCAGCTATCCTTACATATTGATTTTTTTACGCCTGTTATGTGCCTCATATTTACTGCCTTTCAGCCTGTCACTTCTTTCAAGATTTATGGAAATTTCCCTCATTTTCGAGGCACACAAAAATTTCCCTTGTAGCCTCCCCGCGATTTTACCATTCAAATAATACTCATGAAGATAAATAAATGATAGCATTTCGAAGAAATCTTATTTCCATAGAGTATTGAAATTCATTACGTTATCAAAATTCTTATGAATTTCGTTCATAATTCGGTGAAAAAAATAATATTACCTTTCTCTCTGTTTCTCCAGGTTTATGAGAAACAATTCAGGAATACAATTCCACTACCAAGAGATAAACATTCCATTAGTTCGAAGGTACATTCGGATTTGACCTTTGCTCAACTACTTCGTTATGTTTCCGAGACGAATTACAGAAATTTGTGGAAGGAAGCCTACAAGAAATATTATAGTGAGTCAATGCCAAATATATGAAACATTTATTTATTCTATAGTTATCAATGATGAGCGAAAATATCAGGAGTTTTAAAATCATTCTGTCGAAATTAGAGGTGCAAAATTACCGTCATTTTTCTGACGGATTTTCTTTCACACCTCTTTTCAAAAGATGATCATTTACTTCCACGTATTGTTCAGGTATATGGAACCTACCCGAACCAAAAGAGCAGCCCCTCTTGACCCCAAGCAGCAGCGACGTATCAGTAATGCACGAAGTCTTAACGAGACTGTACGGATGTCCCCTAGTCCACCTCCAAAACAGTCACGTAATTTCCATAGCCCCGAGTACGAATACCCGTCCACACTGCAATCTCCTGCCAGCGATTCTAGCAATCGAGACAACATCAGCCTTCATAACACTCCATGAGCAGACTGCCAAATACTCTCTACAAGAATGTAATATGTACAGTCCAGCAGCATTGTCAACAGGCTACAGCAAGCCTCTGTTTCTCGTGTATCAACTATTACATCTGTCCAGGGACTTGCACGACTCTGGTTTAGCCCTCGGAGAGATCACTCTTAGTGATATTTTACTATTGGAGAACTACACAATTCTAGTGATACCAAAGTTGGACGATAACATATACGTGAAAACAGATGATCAATTCGAGAGTTCAGAAATTCAAGAAAAATCTATTTATTTGAAGAATAAAATTTCTCATTCGTTGAGATCAGCATTTGCCTCGAGAGGTCCAGACTTTGGATTGAACGAGAATTTAGAAGAACTGTGCGAATTGTGGCTTCATGGACAATTGAGCAATTTCGATTACTTAACCGCTCTGAATAATTTGGCTGGACGGAGATTTGGAGATCCCTGTTGTCATCACGTGATGCCCTGGGTCACCGATTTTACTTTCAGGTCTGGGAAAAATTGGAGAGATCTGACAAAATCGAAATTTCGGTTGAACAAGGGAGACAGACAGTTGGATCTCACGTTTGAATCCCAGACGTCTGAGTTTGGGCATCACGTGTCCGATGTTCTGTCGGAAATTACGTATTATGTGTATTTATCGAGGAGATATAGTAGAACTGTACTCTGTAAGCATGTGAGGTCACATTGGGTACCTTGGGAATATCCTGCGTCAATTCAGAGGCTACAGGAGTGGAGTCCTGATGAGTGTATACCACAGTTTTTCATGAGTCCAGATGTTTTTAAGGTATTTTATACAAGACGTAATGAATTGTTCCATTTATCTCCTCTTATCATCTCATGATTGTATTTTACTATTGAAAAATCTCAATTCAATCCAATTCAATTTAGTCTCTTTCATGTTCTCAAAAGCGTTCTTTGTTTTACATCCACACTGCCCTTTCTTCTCCTTTCTCCTGTCAGTATTATTGTTATTTTATTTTATTTGATCTCAACTTAATTTCTTATCATCTAATATAATATAGTGCATATATTTAATTTTGAGCCAATATATTTTTAATGTTCCAAAATAATTTTGCAGTCAATTCACGAAGACCTTCCTGACTTGGAGCTACCCAGTTGGGCCCGATCACCAGAGGATTTCATTGAGAAACATCGCGAGGCTCTGGAGAGTCACTACGTATCAGAGCGCCTCCATCACTGGATTGATTTAACATTTGGCTACAAGTACGACTGGAATCTTTTGAAAACCGGCTATGGTTAGATATTTATCCTGGGGGTGTAGAGAAAGTCCAAATGAAGTACCTTTCGATAGCTGTAATCCAAATCTACCAAATACATAATCATCTGATCAGTTAGTTGTCTTCTGTTTTTCTCTGATTCAGATTGTCCGGCGTTGCTGCAATAAAGGCGAAGAATGTTTGCCTACAGCTAGTGGACAATCACACGAGTTTGACGAATTCTGGTGTGGTACAATTATTCACACAGCCACATCCACAGAAAATCATTCCATCACCGTATTGGAGTAAATCTGCTCCTCGATTACGGGTTAGCAATGCGAGAGCATCGAGCAGTGAGTTCAAAATTTAAACCCGATCGGTCCATTAGTTATTTAGGTGAAATAATTCGCTTTTAACTCGTTTCCCGCGAATATCTCAGAAATCAGTCAATCAGTTTCAATAATTTTTTTCGATAATATGGATCGGACTGAAATAAAATTCAAAAAAAAATGAGGGAATCGAGATTTATGAATAGACAGAGAGTTTTTTGTGATTGACAAAAACATTATTATTTTGCTGACCCTATCTTTCTTTGATTTTCAACAGAGACTGATCGATCCGACCAAAAGAGTGAGGACGAAGGCCACAGTTCGGGCTTGGAGGAAGAGGATCCCCCTCCCACCACCCTAAACGTGGCCCGTTCCTCTCCCCTAGCCCTCAGTCGCCTCCTCAGCCGATCCCGTGGTTCCCTCCTGGCTCCGGAGGAGCCATCGCGTCCCGACAAGCCCTCCCAAATCATCCAACTCCCGAAGGACTACAATCCAGTCTCCGCACTCCTCCAAGTAGAGTCTACCCATTCATTTATAAACAAAATCTCCCACCGCCCCTACAACCCAAAAGCCTCTCCCCAGCCCAACCCCTCCTCCAACTACCGCCAGATCGTAGCTTGCGCTCGCATAAAAGAACAGCAGATCCTCGGCTGTCTCATCCTCGAGATCTTCCTCCCCAAGAAATTCCGCGCAACCTGGAACACTGGAAAGTCTTCCTTCGCTGGTCGCCTGGAGACGTGCATCAACATTTTGCTTGAAACCCCAGAAATCCTCCCGAAGTGTGTGAGAAACGCAGTGGGACTTCTCCTTCAGGTTGAAATTACTCCAAAGACCTACGGCGTCAACTCCATCGACTCCACCGACCTCCTCGATACATCTCCCTTTCGCTACCCCACGGTGACCCCCATGGGACTCCCCCCACCGTCAGCCCACCAGTTCCTCCAACCAATTCTCTCCAGCAGTTTATTTCCCTCGTCAAAGTACTTCCAACACCTCTTCAATGTCATCGAAATGCTTCAAGAGTACGAGAAGCTCGTGCAAGATCTCAACACTCTCTTCAAGGACGACGAAATTGCTGATCTCAATTCACTGAATACAAGAACAAAAATTCAATTCCTATGTAAAATAAGTGAGTGTAAGGTCAAAGCTGTGGCTAGAGAGTTGGAAAAGCTTCTCATGTTTGCTGGAAATTCGATGGAATCGAGCCTGCAACTGATAGTTCCTCATGTTAAACAGATAATGGAAGAGCCTTACAGCGCAGTTCTTGCAGCCTGGTACCTCTTCGATCCCATGGCAAAGTCCTTAGGACCTAAGGAGACATCGGAAATTTTTCTAACTCCGATAGTTAAGCTCTATGAGAATGGCTCTGTGATGGACAGTATGACGTCCATGGACTGCCTTCCACCGAATACATTCGCGAAATTTAAAACCATGAGGCTGTACCACAGAAGTTTCCTGCTGAAACTCATGGTGCGTCTGGGGCTCAGGAGATTCTTAGATCACTTCATAACTCCACTCGTTGAAGCTGTCGGATGCTACAGAGATTCTCCTCAAGGTCCCTCTAGCCCCAATTGTAGAAGAACAGGAAATTTGAAGACTTGTGACTTGAGTGATGGAAGTGGAGATATAGAGACAGTTTTGTCTCCTTTGGATGAAGACTCCTCAATTGATTCCGAAAACAATCAAACTTTGATAATCATCTCTGTACCTGAAGTAGATAAACCTAGTGAGACAGAAGTCGAGGTGTTCTCCATGGAGACTGAAGATGTAGTGTCACCAGTTGAGAGTTGTAAATCACAAGACATTCAATTGGAACTCAATCTCAATCTTATTGATGACTTAGTCGACGATGGATCGAGACCGTCGCCCTCGGGTGCTGTCAAATCTCCGACGATTCCGATCCCAGATGCACGAAGTACCAAATCGGTAATTGAATTCAATACCATTGGATGTCACGTGGGAAGCAAAACGTCGAGTGAGGACATGCCCATAGTGGGTTCCTACACAGGCAACGTCCCCAGTACCTCCAATCCTTCGGAAAATCCAGCGATTATCCTAGATTCTGAAAACAGGAAGACGATCTACTTGAATATCTCTGGCGATTCACCAGAGGATGAAATCGACTCTTCGAGTAGAAAAACCGAGAAAGCGTTGATTCACGAGTCAAAGGTGTCAGACATGAGTGCAGAGTCCGTGATCTGGCTGTCGCATCGGCTCGGTCCTGTCTTGACAGCTCGTTTTCTCTCTCGTAATCTCCTGAGAATGCTTTCCTTATGCTACGTAGGACGAGCGAATTTGTTCCCCATCGACGATGATTCATCTCAATTGATAGGGGACGTCAATGCCTCAAAGGTTTTAGAATCGTTGTCAGCGATTGCGAGTCTCTACGGAGAGCAGATGATTTTGGTACAATATTTTGGACACATGGCCGAGCTCTTGACCCTTTGCAAGCGAAAGCTAACGCCGAATCTCGAAGGCGGCCTGGTCTCATGTTTGGCATTATTAACTCACATCACCCCGTATCTATCGGATGCTGCGTTGATGGACACTTTGAATGAGACTATCGTCAGATCGATTCTACATCCAACTGTGAGGATTCTTTCTACGACTAGGTACACTTATCCTTCTGGAGCGATTGCGCGACAAGCACTCGCGGACAAATTTTTGGACGCAATGTCCAGTTTAAGTATTCGGTTTGGATGCACTGCCACCAAATGCCACTTGTCTGTGCCTATTCAAAGGTTCTTTCTAGCATTCGATAAAGTGTTTTGCGATAAACTAGACCTTCAGGAAGATAAGAAACGAGGAGATACCTGTGAGAGACTCAGTCATTCGCCGAGGAGCGAAGGATACGCGGAGGACAATAAAAGAAATGACGGCCAAGATTGGACGTTAGTGGATTCTTCCGCTTGTCAAAATTTTGGATTATCCTCTGAAGTCGCAATTTCGTATTCTCCGCCGGTTGCCGATCACGATGGCTTCAACTTGCAAAGGAATCGAGCTTATGAAGAATTGAAACAAGTCTTCACATCGGAATTCGCCTACAGGGCATATCTTCTCTTTTATAGATTCGTGGACGAAGGGGTGATGAATGAAATACTGAAAAATCATCAATTAATTCGAGACTTGTGCGATGTGTATGGGGATTCAATCTCGAACGTCGATCAGGGTATGAGTAGGTCGGAGACATCTCGCACATTGACTGATGAGCTACTGGACGATAGAGATATCATCACAAAGGGTGCAGGGAGTTTTGGCAACATGTCTGTGATAGGAAATAGGATCGAAATGGGGGAAAACATGGAGGCCTCGCCTCCTCGGGAAGTCAATTCCTCTTCCAGTGGTCGTCAGCTTCGAGGCAACTGGCTCGCCTACTGGGAGCACGAGATAGGGAGACCCGACAAGGATTTGAACTTCAACATGAAGCAGATCAAACTCCAGAGCTTCTCTGGTCACACGAACAGTGTGAGGTGTCTCTCGGTATTGGATAATGAGAATAGTTTTATGAGCGGTGCACGAGATAAAACAGTCAAACTCTGGAGTCTCAGGAGTCAGGGAGACGGTGGGACAGTGTCTTCGTGTCAGTACACCTACACTGGTCACAAAAAGTCCATCTTGGCGTTGACGTTTTTAGAATCATTGAGGTACGCTGTTACTTGTGATGGGACAGTTCATTGTTGGGATCCGTTCATGGGGTCCCTATTGGGGTGTCCCGAGAGCTCCAGACCGGCGCCGGTTAACACATTGGTTGCTAGTAATGCTCCTTCTACGTCACTTCTAGCGGCAACTACTGATATTACGTTGAGAATCATTGATTGCAGGAGTTTTCAGTATGTAAATGAGATGAAAGTCGCGATGAATCCGACTGGATTGATCAGATGCATTGTAGTGGCACCTAGTGGGAACTGGGTGGCATTGGGACAGGCTTCTGGAGTCCTTACGATATTGGACATCAGAACCGGGCTTATTATAGCCTCGTGGAAGGGTCATGAGTGCGAGATTTTGCAGTTGAAAGCCATTAATGAGACGACGATTGTGAGCTCCTCTTTGGATCAGACTATAGCGATCTGGAGTGCGATTGATGGTAAGCTGAAGTTCCATTTGAAAGGAGCTACTGAACCTGTTCATTGTATGGAAATATATGAACAGCAGCTAATTTCGGGAACAACTGCCAACCGGATTGGGGTTCATACTGAGATCAGTGGGAATGCATCTTTCTCGTCTTCGAAATTGAGGTCGGACGCGTTCAAGGGTGTACTCACAGCAATGACTGTTCTGCCACTCAACAGATTACTGTTGCTTGGGGCTGATAATGGGGGCATTACTTTGCTCTGTTGATGAGAGATCAAAATTTGATGAGAAAGAGATGTTGCATCTGTCGGAACTGCCCTCCATTAATTGTGTGAGACAATATGTATTGAAATTGCAGTCATTATTATAATCTCATGGTAATAATAAATTATTATAAAATGGTGATTTGTTTGGTATTCATTGGATGTTCCCGTTCCTGTTATAAGACATATTATTATACGTGAATGCACGTGTGGAAAAATTCAAGAGAAAACTTCTGGCTCCATTTCCTTGAGTGGAGCCAGAAAGGTTATAGAAGATTGAAACAGAATGAAAGAACTGGTTTGAGACAAAAATGTATAAAAAAATTAATCATCATTCATATTATCATATTATTGATTTAATTGAAGCCAGCTTCAGCGGTGAAAAGGTAGCAAACAGCTTGTAGTTTTCAGTAATGTCACCGATCAAGATATTTAGAAAAATGCAACCTTCAAATTCAAAGTAAAAAAAATAGCAAGATTCAAAAGATTTCTATATGGAAACATTTCAGCTTCCCTTCGGAACCTGCATTTATTCATCCGTAAAGCTATGAATATGTACATTATTCACATACATCTACACATATACCTATTACTTTTAGGGATATTCGCAAAAGAAATGAAACAAAATTTTCCGACGTATTTTCGGATCGTTACTAGATGGTTACAAAATTGCAAATAAATATTGCAATGACAAAGGTAAAGATGATTTTTGTGATGATGTGAGTGACAAAAATGACCATCAATGGCCACCGTCATGTGCGGTAATTACCGCGCCGAGAATCTGACCAGATGGTCAGGAACAAAATGATGTCCATTGATAATAATAAACGATAGCAAGTCAATTCTACCAAAAATATTTTGGATTGAAGCCTTAAAAAATGACCTAAAAAATTGCTGAAATAAAAATCACAGTCGATTTGCAACTGTATAGATGATTTTTTGTCATTTTGGCTCATGTCAAAATTCGGTTAGGGTGAGCAAACGGTCAGGAACCGGTCATTTACGTCTGACCTGACCAAAATGCAAATTCAACTTTCGTGGAAGGCAGCTAAGTAACTTTGAATAAGATCTGAACCCCCGCTATTCTCAAAATTGGGCCGATTCTGTGAGATTGGCTGAATTGATTGCTTCTCTTTGAGTTTCATCGCCTCTTGAATTTCACGCAAAACCGCGACATGATCTGGTCTGTAAGAGTTACCTTTTTCACAATGTCTAATAACTTTATCAAGACTCGACATTGCCTCTGGCAAAGTAACCTCGGGGAGTTCAGGTTGTGGGTTATTTTTTTCAGCCTCTTGATCGTTAACTAGCACAACAATATCATTGTCTGACAGGCATTCGTCCTCTGATAAATGTAAATTAGGATTCAACCACTGATCGACATCAGCTATTTCAATTTCATCATTGACTTTTTGCAGTGCAAACAAAAATTGATCTTTCACGAGATCTACTTCGTTAACATATACTTCATGGAATTTCTTATCATCGCAATCAACATTTTCAGTATACTTGCTCAAGTCTCCTATGACTCCTGGACACTTGGAGATTCCTGGCCATAACTGAAGAAAAACCAGTGAGTTACAATTTTATTTTGTAACATTGGAAAAACATTGAACCCTCAATGTTTTTCCATGACCTCACCCAAAATTAGCATTCAACGAAAATCAAAATATTTTAATGATGTAATTACCTTTTCCCAACACTTGACAATGGTCGAAGATGCCAATTCCCTCCAACTGTCTCGCATCCAGAATACAACCTCTCTCAACGTCACATTATCCACCGCCTCCAGCAAAACAGCTCCAGTATTGAAATGCCCAACGACATGTGCCATCAGTTTCCTCCTATACCTGAAGCAAAATAGAATGAAAATAAAAAACTACAACTACGTATGAGGAGCAATAAAATCTAAAACCGGTTAAATATATGAATAAATAAACATGAATAATTTAATGAATAAAATTGAAGTAATTAAGACATGATGTTAAAAATTGCAAATTAAATAATCGCTGGCCAGTGGCATTGTCTTCAATACTAGGGTCTATCAGTTTATTCTAGGACCGAATAAAAAGCCTACCTACCTCATCTTCAACTCTTGAAGACACCCATGTCCCAATGGCTGCCTAACCCCAGCGAAATCCTCCTCCAGGGCTTCAACCCTTATAAAGTCACTCTCCAAATTATTCGTATGACCTCCACAATCGTTCATAGTTAAAACAGCCTTCATGGGCAATCCAGCCTGGATCAGATAAAACTTCACTAATGGCTCAAACTCTTCCTTAAACCACTGGAGAAAAATATTACTCGTCAAGCTGGACGTTCTCTGGCTTTTGTAGGAGACAGGAATGTGTCTAATTCCCCTCAAAGGTATGGGATCCTTAGCATTTCCAATGATCATTAGAGGAAGCTTGAAACTCCCAGAGGCATTGCTGCAAGCCATCACAGTCATTCGTTCCCAATGAACCTTGAACGAGGAATCATTCAGCTGGCTCAGGGCGTTTTTTGGTAATTGTTTATAATTGAAGCTAATTTTGTCACAATTGAAGATCTGGTGAGGACTGAGATTCTCTGTCGCAATGATTCCTTCCAATATTTCTTTGAAAACTTGTGTTGATTCTTGGAGATGATCGTCGTCTGGAGCTTTTTTACTCGATGGATTGGATGATGTAGTGGAGGAACAGGGTTGAAGGCCATGTCGTATCTTCCAACGAGCCAACCAGCCAGCACTAGCATCAAATCCTGGGCTCCCCCCTAGGGTATTCCAAAACCATCGAGCTTGCGTTCTTATTGTTGACGAGTCCAGGGGTAGACCTGCAGATTTCCTCTCCTTGTACCATATCCAAGTCGCTTGATCCACTTTGTAATTTTCAGGTTTCTTCAGCCGTTTCACTTTAGTGGGAAGATTTCCAGTAAACACTTTCTCCCAATCTTGGAATTTTTCTCTGTTCTTTTCCCACGAGTTGACTGTTTTTGCAGATACACCAAGGACCTGGGCTATTGTGGTGACAGGAATTCCATTTTTTAAATCTTCAAGGGCTTTGAGTTTTTGAGCGACTTCGATGGAAACGTATTTACGTTTTGGCGGTTTAGACATTCTTGAAGGTTAGGGGTGATGTTTACGAGAGAACAAATAACAATGACCGGTCTGCGCAGGATTAAATATTCGCGGACTTGCGCATGTGCATTCGGTGGGATGGAGAATGGTAATTCCTGCATGGCGACTTCGTGAGTACAACTCACGGGCACTCACGGGTAAATAACGCGAATAACAAGTAAAACAATTGTTATTTAGTGTTTACAAGATGTTGAAATCAGTGATAAGTGCATTGAGACCTTCATTAATGGAGAGAGTTTGTTGTCAATCACCATTGACGCATAAACAGGTGTTGATGGTGCCAGTTGTCTCAAGATTTTTCCACATAACCTCATATTTACCGAAAGAAGACAGGAGAAATCAGAATAAAAATATGCCAAGGAGGGATGAGGGTACCCAGGGGGAGACTGGGATTGAGATTGACACTGTTGTGAGCAAGTGAGTACCATCACTCGACAATAGTTTCATTCAGAATAAAATAGTTTGAGTGATATAGTTATGGAGCAGATTAAGTCCATTTTGTCTCATCTCCAATGGTTTTTTGTTTATTCATTGATTTATCTGATGACTGTTGTAGGTCAGACATATTCCCTGACGAGAATTTGCCGAACAGGCTTTTCAATGGGATACCCTTCAAGGAAATTCCTATTATCAATGTCAAGTGCTCGAAAAATAATACTCTGATTTCTTTGACTGACCATAAAGGTACAGTTATTTAATAGTTTTTGGGAGAAGAATTTCATGTACAAGTGGAGAAGGTTTCATTTTCTATTTGTTTTGTTTTTTTTTTCTTCATGAGAACAGGAGTTGTTCAAATATATCACACGTGTGGAGCTGAGGGATTCACAGGTGCCAGGAGAGCCACGAATGTAGCAGCTCAGGCAACAGCCATCAGCGTGAGTGCTGTAAGTATTTTCAAAACACTGATAATTTACCTTAAATACTGAGAATTCAAAGTCTCATTCATTACATTTGCCACCAACATTCCAGAAAGCACTGGAACAGGGTTTTCAAACTGTGAGAGTCAGAGTGAGAGGTCTTGGACCGGGCAGAATGGTGAGTTTTTAAATCAAGTATAATTTCAAGTACTCAATACATCATCTTCTCGCCTCAACCAACAAAAAATTTGTGACAACCAGTTCAAAAACCACGTCTCCATCACACGCAGATCTTTCCTCCACCCTTCGCTCAAATTTTTAATCACACTAAAAACACTCCATGACATCCGCACGGAAATAAAAATATTCGTGGATAAAATTATTGTTCTAGATTTTTAAATTGATATCCTTTATTCAAGACTGCTCAACTTGTCATTCAAGAATTTGAAAGAGATATTTTTGGATTGACAAATCATTTTAAATCAAGTTTGAAATACTTTTACTTCTGCAATTCTCCCGAGCTTCTCTCAAACTGGGAGGTTATTTTTATTCTTGGCTTCTATTTGAGACTGAAATATCCTTCACTCATGAATTTTAGAGATATTCTCGACTAACGAGGCTGTTATCCTCACCACAGGAATAAATATTCTTAAATCGGAAATATTCATGATCCTAGAGTATATTTTCCGTGCGCCCAAACTCCTGTAATTCACATATCAACACAATTAAACTATAAATGAGAGAGCTTTTTTGATACAATCGCAGGCATCACTCAAGGGTCTCCAAATGGGAGGAATGAATATAATATCGGTGACTGATAATACGAGAGTCACGTGGACACCGTTGAGGCCGAGAAAAGCGAGGAGAGTGTAGAGTAGAACTTATTAAATATACAAAAAAAAATGTTTAAAATGATAACTAAAATGAATAAAGGAAATTTGAAAAAATATTAGTATTCATTGTTTCACTATTAATAATTAATGAAGCAATAGAAATATGTTTCCACGGCAAAGTGCGCCTTTTATATACAAAAACAAACAATAACATCTCCTGAATAATTGACTAGTTGTTTCCACAATGATGCATTAAAATCACCACATCCGGTTGTACTTTTGGTATTGAATAATTAATTTCTGTGGATTGTTAAACATCAAATCATTTGCGCGGCGATCCATGGGATGTATTCAGACACTCTAGTGTAGATACCCGGAAGTCGTGGTCTGGCGCATCCTATGCCAGATGAGACAACTCCAACGACTAGTGTACTGTCGCCGTAATGGCTTCCGACCATCAGTGGACCACCACTATCAGCCTGAAACAAAAGACAAAAAGCCTTGTATACGTTTGGTATCGTATCTCGAGTGACCACAAGTGAATTTAACCTCGAGCTCTTTCTTTTAGAGGGGAATAAAGGTGGTAAAGGAGACTCGTGGAGAGGAGGAATTCTATTTTCTAAATGAGATGACTGCACCATTAGGGATTCTCTCGAAATTGAATTCTTTGGTATTGAATTATTGGAGGCAATTTTGGAATTGAGTTGATGGACGTATTGAGCACAAGTTCATTTAATTGCTTAAATTGAATAATTTAACAAAATGAACATTCAATATTCATGTGAAATAATTAAGTAAATAGGGAGTTTTTTTTTCATGGCTACATGAGTTTATTATGTCTTTGATGAATGAAATTTCCCATTTCTCCCGAATATTTAGACTAAAATCATGAAAATTCATACCCAGCAAGAATCCCTTCCACCATCTTCATGCCCAGCACACATCTGCTGAGGCACAACCCTGGTCTTCTGTCCCTGGCTCTTGTACCACTCTCTGCACACCTCATTCTCAACAATATTGATGTTAACTTTTTGCAGAATATCAGCTCGTTTATCTGAAAATTACCTCACTAAATTATGATTCACACAAAAATAAAAATTCCTGGACATTGGGGAATCGTCATTAACGTTGGCTGGCGTAATTTTTTATTGAATTCCGGAGTGATTTTACAATTTCAGGACCAATTATGGTGACATTTAGCACGTTTTTCGTAGAAAGCGAGGAAAAATTCACAGCCAAAAAGACTTGGAAATGGAATTTCACTTCACGATTACTCAATGTGTCTAGTAATTTTTCCCCACCATTTTTTTCCATTGATTTTGAAAACTTACATTTTGATTTATCTTCACCCAGCCATCCCCAACCAGCTGCAACTGCATTCACCCCACCAAATCCCTGGTAACCCTTTTCACCCCGTGCCGTGGGAAGACAAGCAGGTTGTACACTATCCGTCCAACTTATCGGTGATTCCAACTCCAGTATTGCAATGTCGTCCACGTACTTGCCACACTTGTGGTCGGGATGTATAACGATATTACGTACGCCAGTAGGTACTGAGGCTGGCGTCTCTGGTCCACGTAAATTATATTCACCGAGGGTTACCTTCAGTTGTCGAGGGGGCATTGTCCCAGTTGTACTGTTTAATTAATGTATTCGTTCATTAATGAGATTTTATTCACTTCAGACTGGGGAGAACAGAATTTATAAACACGAATGAGATGAGATGATTCGATGAATTATGAGTTTCATCACTTGAGAATATGTATTCTCCGGATAGTAATCTCATCGAAGCGGTTCCTTGTTTCAGATAAAAGCTTTATTAGTTAAATATGAATCTTTTATTTGGAATAACTATATGAGTTTATTCATCTCCAAAGAAAATATATTCTTGAATCCTCAATTAATTAAAAACTCCGTATTGGTACTGAATATTCATGAATTGATTCAAATCCAAGTAAATTGGGGAATTCTTGTGTTGTTGCTGTTGAAAAATGTAGAATTCCAATGAATATTCAGTGTAATGTCAAAATGCCATCATCTTTTGAATGCAAATAATAATCAATAAAAACTATTTTAATCAACCAGAGGAAGCCTGAAACTCTTCAGCGCTCAACTCAATTACAAAAAATTCCAAGTAACGAAATTAAAAAAAGTGAAATTGTAATAATTCAGTTTCTCAAGGAAGATCTATCTCTCGGTGTCAAGCAGCAAGTGGAAAATTCAAGAAACTCAGTTTCACTCCGGGGTGCCATAAAAAGAAGTTGGATGACGGTTAAAAACAGGATAAAACTGTCAAGTTACTCGCAGTTGGGGGGAGAGTGGTGCAAAAACAAATTAATCGTTGAATCGAGATATAAGTTGTGAGGAGGGAGTAAGAAATGGTGAGAAGTTTGAGTTCACGAGTTGAGGGAAATAGTCAGGTGGGAGTTGACTATCAGGCTTGTAGTCCTTGCTGGCGTTTTGCTGTGAGTTGCGGGACGCAATTACCGAGTGGTCTGTAATCCACACGCAATCATGGTACAGTCACAGTCGGGGTCGGATTCGAGCCGGGGCCAACCCCTCGTTACCGGTTTGAGCTACGCTGGGTACGCGTTTTGCACAAGCATCTGCCTGCCTTTTAATTGCTCATACTCTTCCTCCCCCTCTCTCTCTCTCTCTCTCTCTTTACTTTGCACAACACCACGATTAAACTCGTATATTCCGGGAGTATCTAAATGCGAGATAAATTACTATGGGTTACACGTAAAACCTCTTTAGGTGAGTTTTTTTCTTATGTGAAGGGCGCTGGGAGGTGAATAATCTTGGGGAAATGCATGGGGAATTATTTTTAATTTGAGGGAACTAGGGGTGGATACGTGAAGAACAAAGTTGGAGAAAAATTACCAAACAAGTCAAGTAATCGTGGAGGGGAATCCATTTCTAGGTCATTTTTATTACCCTATACAGATGCAAAAATGCAAGAACAATAGTGAATTTTTCTCCGCTGACACGTGAAAATTGAGTAAACGTGAGGGTTAAAATTTACCATTTTTTCCAATAAAAGTAATTTCGTTAACATGACTTTTTCAATAACTGGGGAAATGCCAATGTTCAATGAACGTAATTAATAATGTCGTAATTAATCCCAAATGTACTATTAATCACTATTACCAAAGGACTCAAGTGTTGAAGCACAATGCATAAAGTATTGGATTGAAATTTAATTAAATGCCATTCTGGCATACCCTGGATTACATTTTCAATTGAATTCTCAATATTCTGATCGACATGAATAATATTAAGTAATTGACAGTAATTGTAATTACCCGATAATTTACATTTGCACTGTTGAATTTTTTAATTTACATTTTCAGTCTTTTTTTTTACTCAATTTCAAAGGAAAAATGCTTTGATATAATTTATATACCGAAATGGTAAAATTGATTTGGTATCGACATAATCGAATGAAACTTACGTGCAAATGCAGTGAGCGGCAGTAAGAATAAATCTTGAATTGATGACAGTACCCCCACAGAAGTGTCCCCCCAATCGAGTGATGCTCACCAGCCAAGGAAATTCCCCTGGGAGAGTATCCTCTCCCCCCACGACTTTCGGCCTCCTTGTGCCCCTAGCCCCTCTCCCACATGGCACATCAGCAACTAAAGAACCAGATTTAAATTTAAAAAAAATGATAATAATAAAAATCAGAACAATCACTGTAAAGAAAAACTAGTAGTGTCTTCAAGACGTCTTATCGGCTAATTTCATAATGACAAAATTTTCGGCTGTCTCAAAATGAGACGTTTGTTTCCATTGAAAAAATAAAATAAAATAAGACGTTTCATAGACAAGACATGTTCATGTTAATTAGTTGAGACAGTGTTTTTCTGTCTGACTAAAAATGATTTTAATTTGGGCAGACAAACGTCTTAAAAAAGGGGACAAAAGTATCTTAATTTCAGACACTAGTTTTTCTAGTGTACACGAATTGACGAAATATTATGCATGATTCGTTTGAGTAGATTCATCCAACAGAAATTCGCGATACATTTATGATGTGAAATTGCATCCATCGATTCTCGATATCGTGGAAATTGGCTACGAATGATGCACATTGCATTTTCAGAGTCCCCTCTATTCACTGACTCGAATAAATATGTCTATATGTGTTCTCTGTGGTATTGCACGATAATCACGAGGGAAAGAGAGAGAGAGAGAGAAACAGAGAGAGGGGAAGTTGAAAAAAAAGGATTAAAAGGATGGGAATTCTTTGGGGGAACATCGTACTTGTGTGGTGTAGAATATCAATGAGTTTTTTTTTGTAATAAAACTTTTGATTGAGACTCTTGATGATATTCAAATATTGGGCATGCATTTTTCCATTTTCCTCGACAAACAATTTTTTCCATCGTATTCCCCCGGGGCATCGCATTTTTCTCATTCATGTTCGTAATCAGGGGTTATGACGATATAATTTATTCATCGCACGAGGAGTGTATTTGTTGGTCGATTCGGTGATTCACTCGATACTTTTCCTATACCTTGAATAAATTGTTTGGATTTGAGCCGCAGTAGCGTATCAATTGTTGAGAAATTTTGTAATTAAATTTCCGCTCCAGCGATGCAATCTATTCACAATTCATTTGATGTGGAGGAGCTTTGTTGGTTCAATGTAATAGTATTGCTGGATAAATGTTGTAAAAGTTGAATTCTCTTGGAATACAGAAGAATGGTGAAACTACTGCTGGTGGAAATGCTAATTGGGGTGAAGTTCCTAGCGTCATTATACTGCAAAAATAGACGTTGGTAATATAAGGAGCGAACGTTCAATAAAACATTACAAATCGTGATGAATATTATTATGAAGTTTCGATTAATTAGAGATTTGAGGGGAGGGAGAGTTTTCCGTACAATTTTTTCATTGAAAATTCAACGTTTTAGGGAAAAATCATGAGAAATGGCGAATTTCAGTTCATTCATTCCATGTAAATTAACAGAAATATTCATTAATTCTTAAATTCCACCCTTTTAAAAACCACGCCTAAACTATCGTTATCAAGATATTCTTCATTATAGAGCCTCTCGCTCAAAAATCAGAACTAACTTTCCTATCAGCGCCACTGCTTAATCACCTGGTTAATTATCTCAAAATTACCAATTAACTTGGAAAGAATCTTCTGCCAAAAAAACTATTCCCACGAAATCCCCCGCCCCCCAAATTAATTACCTCCACCTAGGAACCATCAAAATTTCAATAACTACCATTGAATTCAGAATTCCATTTACTATTATAATGAGTGCCAATGTACTCGACAATTAAACGCAATGTGAATTTTCCCGGTCTCCAGAAAATAGAGTTAATAAACCAAATTCAGTAGTCACCATTAAACACGCTCGTTCTGGTGACGTCCGTACCATAGTAGTCGTAGTCATCATGCTAAAATGTGGAACATTGCTCGTAATCATAAATTAGCAATTTTCCGCCATGAAAAAAAAAAACGTAGGAGAGAGGGTAAAACCTCCCAAGGGGAAGCATTTCGCCGTCAATCACTGAACCGCGACATTCGTCTAATGGACACTTCGTCATCCCCCGAACAACAAAAAAAATGAGGTGAGGGTCTTTTTTACGGTAAAAGCCACAGTCGAAACTCAAAATTCGAACGGAGAGTGCAACCGAGCGTGTGTCACTCTGCTTCAAAATTTACAATTCAAACTAAACCGAAACGCGCTGGCCATAATTTTATATTACCTCCGACAGTTGAACGGAAAGCTCGTGTCTCTCTGTGTGGCTGTGGGCTGAGGCTCGATCGGTGTCAGTCGTGCGATAAATACAATCATTGGGGTGTCAATCGCATAACTCCCTCACTCCCGGAAAAATACGTGTTTGTGGGGATGAAAAATAAAATGTGGAAACTCAAATCGAATATAGACGAATGAAACAAAAAATATATCACTTCCTATTACTGATGTTCGGGAATGTCGGAAGCTCCGGGGGGGTATTGACAAGTTAAATCAATTCATTTTACAAGTGGTAAATAAATGATTTGGATGACACAGGGGGTGAGGGAGGGGGAATTTTAATTCGACAATTTTATTGTTATCGAGGTTTTATAGTTGCGAGGGAGTTTACGGGTTTAATTATTTCATTGGAAGGGTATTTCGAGGATTGATGGGTGTTATTTGGTACATGACTGAATGCACATTTGAAGTTTTTATGAAGTGACATTTACACTGAAATTTTAAAGGATCTCGTCATTGGAAATTTAAAATTTTATGGAGAAATCAATGGGAGCTATAAATTTCAGTTTAATTATTCTATGAAGATTGACAGCAATCAGGATAATTTAAGGGGAATATATTCCGGGATTTTTCAATTTCGGGATGAACTGTTGAAAAATTTGTGTCAACTGTTCAAAAGATATACTTCCTATTTGATTATCACCTTTACAATTTAAACTCCACGAGCTTGCATTCAATCAACCATCAATAAAAACCCCTCACAATTGCCTCAAAATTTTCCACTCTCCCCCATAAAACCCGAGCAATAATTCACCCCACAAAGAGTAGACTCAACCAATCACAACAGTATTTCATTCAACCATTGAGCGCATAAATTTATACCGTTATCGAGAGCAAAGCGAACGAGGCCAGCGGATGATGGCGTTGGTGGTTTAGATCGAAAGGGAGAATAATCCCCCCCCGCCCCAAAAAAAATGAAATAAAAAAAGGAGAAAAATAAAAATGTCATCCCCTCCAACTTGTGCATTGAGCCTCGGCGTTTCCGATTCACGCCCGGCGAAGCATCGCCGTATTATCATGGCCATGTTCCGCCTGGCTTTGACATATCTATTACGCGTTTCCGAATAGCGGCGACTTCAAATTCTATGGGCAAACGGTTTTGCGCGGGCCAATGCGGGGGAGGGGAAGTTGGTTGTTGGAGTGGCGGTAGAGGGATGAGCAGAGGGAGGGAAGAGACGGTATAAGGCACTCCAATTAATCAGTCAGGGCGTGTGAAACCGGGGACACCAGGAGAACTGGGGATATTGCGGTGACAGGCTCACCTCCCGTACCTGTTCGTTTTCAAGCTCTCTCGCTCTGCATTAAATTTTAATGCCGCGGAAATCTCGGGAATTTTGTATGAGTTTGGGGGAAGGGAGAGGGGCGTCGACACCAGTTACTCTTTATTCAGGGATTTGGTATTTGTGGATTGGGTTCATTATGGAGTCGTTGGTGAGAGTTATTTGAAGGAAGGAATCGAGAGAATTGTGGTATTTGGGGGATATTTTTCTGGCATAAATACTAGTCAACTGTCCATGACTAAAATAATTTTAAAAAAACAATACTAAACAGACTTTTAAATCAAAACTTGAAAGAAATGTAATTTTACGTTGATGTTCAGTATCCCCCATTTACTTTTATCTACGTAGAAACAATTAGGAAAAACTATTTGATCAAACCACTGAAAAATATTTCAATTACACCCCAAAATTGAAAAACTCCATCCACTCCGACTGAAATTCACTTTTAATTAGAAAAAGTAACAATGGAAAAAGTGTAATTACATATTTGAAAGCAGAAGCACTACCGCGGAACACCACCCCGAACAATGGTTGTTCAATTACCCCACAAAAACATAAAAATTAAACTCACAGTTGGTAAAGCCAATGGCAAGGATGGTGGGTACAAGAAATCCAATGATGAGCAACGAGACGCGTACCATTTTTCACTCGGCTGGTGGTGGTGTTGGCTCGATGGTGGAAAAAAAAGTGTCACAGCATCCTGCCGTCGACGGGTTCTTTATACGTCGTGAACACACGCGCTCCTCGTCATTCCCCTAACAGTGGTGTCGTCAAATGAGGGAAGGGGGGAGGGTATTTCATTGTAAAAGTTGACACGGAGTTCGAACGAGCATCTGCGGTTTGCCATGTAAGTAACGTACACTGATAACACTGACGACAAAGTTGAGCGAGGTAATTGTACCGTGTGACAATGGCCCGTAGTTTTGCCTCGGCCAATGTACCCAGAATTTGACCTTTCACGATCGCGAGGTTTTGCGGTGGCCCTCGACTAAACAACTCAAAGTTTTCGCTGTGGTTATCGACGCAGCGCGGCCAAAATTTGGCAAATAATTATGCTCTTTTAAATTTTAAACTCAAATTTTCTGGCTGATTTCTTGGAAATTTCAAGGAATTTCCAAGAAATCAGGAGAATTGAAAAGTTCAGGGTAAAAAATCATTTGTCTCTTGTTAAAATTTATTTATTCATCGCTGAAATTCAACATTTGCCTTTCGATAAACTTGAATCCATTTCCGCACTTCCTTTTCCACAGTTCATGCGGGTCTGGAGTTTGCCAGTCCTTGGTCAGCAAAAATCCTCGGTTATATATAGATTACCAAATATTTTCCCCCATCTCTCGGAAAATTCAAAGCAAACACCTATCGACCTTCCCTCCGACCAATGTCAATAATCAATTATTCAGCTCATGATATGTGGGCTGATAGATGTGGAACGCAGAGTACTTGACATTTGTTTTTACAAACGTGATCGATAAATACTTGGATGTTGCGTTTCTCATGCACCGTGAATTCAAATTTTTCCTAAATATTAGACACTTCTTTTTCTGAAGATGGAAAAAATTCCCCTTCACATATTTTTAGAATTTTTTTTTTCGTTACTCGAGTGGTTGGAGTAGCTCACTCGGTCATCCCATGTACCCTCTTGCAATCACTGATGCATTCATAAGAGTACATATTCGTCAAGTTGAGCATGCGCGTACACAGACGTATACACCTTTGCAAACATTGGGTAGTAACGCCAGTGGAATACGAAAGTGAGAGTGGAGCCTCTCTGCAATCTTACTCCATTCACGTTCAGCTGAACTTGACCCACTCGTCACTCCTATTCGTGATACATACTCGTCTCACCCTCTGTCAGCATCATTCACGAGAGCTCATTCGATATTCAAACTCCACCATATCACGATTAATTTTCAATTAAGATCTGCCATGACTTATTACTGGTGATCGCATGGCGTTCAATCAGGCGAGATATCCCGAGGATTTGTGGCCCTCGGGGGTGAAACGCCTGGTTTATGATGAAGATAACAGGGGGGTTATCTACTTCCGAAATGTGGAATTTATTGAGGTAGGAACCTTCATCATCTTTTTCAGTTGGACTTTTTGGGAAGCCCGCAGTTTGCCACTGGGCCAACGACTCTCGGCGAGGCCGAACTCTGTCTATTTATCGGTCGTAAACCTATCTGATTTTTTTTTCAGGGATCCAATAATCCCGGCAAATTTAGACAATAAAGAATCCATTTGGGAGAGGTGAGAAAGAGGTTTTGAATTTTTCATTCATATCGGCGGATGATTGTCAAGTACAGTTGATTCGTTCTATCATTCCTGAAATTTCGCCTGAAAACAAGACGTCTGAATTTTCCTTATTTCTCTCAACTTCTGTGGAATGAATAAACTGGAATTGACACTTTTCATTGATTTTTCCATAAAATTTTGAATTTTCATAGAAACTGTAATGTTAAAAACATTGTTAGCACTACTTTAATTAATTTTCATTTCACTCATTTGAACAGTCCGAGTAAATTTCAATGGACGACAATTCAAATCCGATTACCCTCCGAGGAAAATCGCATTCAGTAACAGGTACACAGGTGAACCGAGAGTAATCTAATTTACGTCCTCTCCCTCTGTTACATCTTCTCCTAGGATGCGGTCTACGGGATCAACTCCATTCAATCGAGCCATAATGCGCATTTCGCGTTACTGAGGCGAAGACGTAACTCACTTGCGAATTAAATTCTGAAACTCAGATGCAGCATTTCACCATGTGTTATTGACTCCAGTTTTATGTGGTTTTCAGGAGCGAGCGACAAGATTGTAAATAGATGAGGTTAATTTCGGAGGATTGAGTTTAGTGGTACTTGGGGAGATGATTAAACTCCGAATGATTTTCATAAAATTCTATTGGACGAGTACTTGGGATGAAATGACTGGCGTAATGCACCCGTCATAAACTTTTGTGGAGAATTTAGAGAAAATAAACAACTTTTACTTGTGTGAGAAGAAATGTGAGGGAAATGGATCAATTTCATGGGGAAAAACGGAGATTTTTCATTTTTCCATCAGCCAAACTATATGATTGAGTGATTAATCTATACTATCACAAAAAAATTCAAATTTTCCGGAATAACTCAACTGAAATTAATTAACAATTCCCATTGACTTTTAAATTTTCAATGACGAAATTCCTTGAAATTTCAATGAAAACATTATAATTACTCGTGGAGGGTTTTATTTAGTTCCTTCCCTTCAATCCCATAAATATAATATTCATCGGTTATTAGTTCCAACAAGTTGGCAAACCGCAAAAGTTTCGGAAAGTTTTTTTGCTCCCCACGGATAATGATAAAATGGATTTATGAAGGACGCGGAATTCTGTTGCGGTTAGCCACTGCGGAAGAGTGGATACAATGGATCATACACTTCTCAAAAGGACTTTGATGGATATCTCTATCCAGGCATCCAGTCGGATACAATACACCTAATCCCAAAGCGCCAGTGTAGCTTGATTTATTTATATGCCAGGCTTACTGTGCCATATATCCCATTAATCACCGATCGATACTTTTCAAGTTTATTTAACCCCTATACTATTCTGAATTTTTAAAAAAATTAGGATATATCCGAATTCCATTAATATACATCACTGTTTTTTTTTATCATCGAGACTCGGTGACATTTTATAAAATGCACAAAACAGATACACAAAAAAAATACTGAAATGGTCTCTTTTTTTATTTTGTTTTCACTTCACAAATTCATAAAAATATTTTTGTTTCCGCGGTTTTTGACACTGAACCAGTTTCACAATTTTTTTTAAAATTATTTTTAATATTTTTTCAAATTAAAATTGGCAAAAGTATGAGAAGCAATAAAAGTTTATGATTCAGAAATAAAAATTCATGAGACGTGAGTTGTTAAAAAAAATTCACAAAAAATGTGTTTTTTTTGTTGTTGATTTTTAATGGGAACCTATTGAGATTCAAGGAAGATATTTTAAAATTGTATTTGTTCAAAATGAAACGTCTCGTTTTCCAAGACATTTGAAAAAGACACATTTTTATGTCTGTCTGAAATTAACACGTCTGTAGTCTTCTCCAAATATAGTTGAAAAACCTATTGCCGACGAGAATTCTCCTCCCATTTCCTTCCTGCACTAAGAAAATGAATTTGCACTCGTCTGATTCACCACTATCAAGTCATTAAACTGAAGGTTATCAGCTGACTGCAAATTACCCAACGAATGTGTCACAAAATGTGTGCCACGTCCAAGGTGGAAGCATGGATGATAACCAGACCTGCAATTAAGTGCAATTGTCTCGTGTTCCAGTGATCATGACACCATCCATTAACGAGAAAAGATACCCTCCAATGAAGGTTGAATCCACGAACAATGGGTCTGGGGCTCGGCAATCAATTCAAGAGGATTTTAAGATCAATTTCATATTACAGACTCGCTCCATCAGACAAAGGGATTCCGGGATGGATTCCCTGGAGTAAAGAAAAATAACAATTGGAATAATCAATTAACGGTAATACCACTTTTATTGGTGCCCGCTGGAGTGGAAGAGTGGCACTATTCCGAGAAATTCCCTTTTAGATCCATCGGCTTTTGGATGAGAGCGATTATACTCGGAGCATTGAATTTTTTTTTCTTTCCGTCCTTTATTATAGTCTCTTTCGAGGGCATGGCGACTCCGACTGGGTCACTGTTGAACTCGGTTTACAGCTTATCACTTTGGCATTCAAGGTTTTATCTCAAATACTCATGAACGGAAAAACTGTTTATTGATGAGTGATAACGCTGGCCTCCATCAAGGTCTCTTTAATGCATTTTTTTTTTCACCTGCATATAAATGTCATACAGTTTTCACAAGCAATCCAACGATTGCTTAAAGAAGAAATATAATGCGGAAGCAAAATATAAAAGAATCTTTTTTTTTGGAACAACTGAATCTATTTTAATCAGAAGGGCTTGCTGAGAAAAAATGAAGAGAATTTTCACATCATTAATCGGCTCCTTTAATTAAAGTGAATTAAAGTTTTGATGCAAGTACGCAAGTACGTGTTTCTTTTTTAATCGTCCCTGACTGACATCCAGGAGTAAACTTACGACCACTTACCCACCGTGGTACGTTTCTCACACCCCCTCTCCATTCCATTTCGCGTATGCCCAAGCAAGTTGTTTGCTCTTGCACAGAGTAACATTCTACTCGGTTCGCAGTTAAATTGGTAAAGTTTTAAGTTCTAGCGCTTACACCCGCACCACCTTGGTGCTCTCTCGCGCGTCGTTACTCCATACCGGGAAGCTTCTTCAGGATTGTGGGAGGTGGTATAATACACCTCGCTCCTCTCAACTTCGGTCTGTTGGCTCCTTGCGACTATCCAAAGTCGTGTAATCGCCGGGATTATCATGGGTGCTGGAGAGTAAGAGTTATTTTCTATTTATTTGGAAGATTCTTCCGTAGGAAAAATGACTTTTTGGTTATTCTTTAGAATCAAGTCCTCGAATATTTAATGTAAAAAACAATATCTACTGAATTCGTTGGGAAATTCTCAATTAAATATTTTAATTAAATCAATTTGTTTATTTTAACAGCCGTGATAAAGCTCATATTAAAACTTAAATTTGATTTTTATTTGTTTTTTTAATCACATTAAATAAATAGCTTCATTAGTCGAGAATGAAATCATTGTTGAAACATGTAATAATAATTCATTTAATCTTAATAGAGAATTCCTTTGGAATTGATTGATTATTCATTCCATTCAATTGAAATTTTTTCATTGCGATAGATATATGAGTTCATGTATGAATTAAAAAAAATCTATTGAAGAGTTTTATTTATTATTTAAAACTCATCTCAAACACTAATGCTCTCCAGTCCACGAAGTAGTTGTGACCGTGAGTAGTCAGACACGGCTAATTCTTCTGTCAACTCATTTACTCGTAAGAAGTTTCCTATTCTCAAATTCAAAGAAAAGTGAAAAATTATTTTTTAAAGTAACCCGATCAATAATTGTAATTATTGAAAAATAAGGACAGTGTGGGATGAATTTGAAAATAGCACGTGTTATCTCAACAAATCACTTTACGCGACCCATTGAACAATCAGAATTAAGGATTAGCGGTCAGGCAGTTTCGGCAGCCCCTATAATAATATATCTCTAGACGTGATTTGCTTCTTTTCCGGAAACTCCAGCGTCATGTTCCAGTCCAAAAATAAATTGAAAATCTTGAATAATTCTCACTTAAAAAAATTTATCGCCGCAATTTCGATTTATATACCCGAAATAAAACGGATTAGGGAATGAAATATAACTCTCAATTTGAATAGCAATAAAGATAAAACCGGTGAGAAATTTCTCCGAAGAGTTTCAAGAATAATCTGCCCTCAATTTAGCGCCTAGAAACGAATGTCCGTATTCTTGACGAATTCCCGCGGATTTTACGACGATGAAGCTGATTTTTCCAATGTCTCTGGGAATAAATTCTCCCTGGAGTTTGACGGGGGCTAAGAAAAAAGTTGCTTGGGGGAGAGTAGAGGGGCTGCTCTCTCGTGTGATGATGTCGATTAACAGTTTGGAGGGCCTTTAAAATCTCCACTACTCGGGATACTTGGTGGCATGGGTCTGAAAATGAGAACATTAGCATTTAGAGCGCAATTTTCTCATTAGGTGTACGAGTGGCACTTTGGTGGAATTAAGCTGACACCCTGCCCCCACAGTGGCAATCATCGTTTGCAAAAAAGGAATCCTTCTTCAATTCCGTTTTACTTTGTGGCGTAAATTTTCCAATGAATTGATATTACTTTTTTATAAATATAAATAAAAATGAAAATTTCCAGAAGTGAGGAAAATTCATGTGAAGAAATCAATTGAAAATGCCGTCAAGTATAGTACTAAATATTCATATTTTGATGTCTTGAATTCAATACAATACATTATTCCTCCCATCATCAGAACAAGTAAACCAACTCGGCAATTTCCCCTAACGAAGAAAAAATTCCCACTCCGTTAATTAATTTTCATTCCCCCGATATAATTAAATGACTGGAAAACCAAGATGAACCGTTGTTCACTACACCCAGAAAGTAGAATAATAGCTTCATAGTAAGGCAAAAGTACGTGTGCTCCAAATGGTAGTTTAAGCTCTCCCATTGCCCCACAACTCCCGTAATTTTTCACCTCAGAGAAAAGTTAAGAGTAATTTACTGGTATCTCAGATGCTATTCAACTTTGTGAGACGTTAAAAGGCAAAGGGTAGTGACTTGCTCCCCATCTGAGAGAAAAAGAAATGAGCTCTCTCGCCTCTCGCCTCTCGCTAATTGCACTCGATTCAACTTGATTTGTATCGGGGGATTAAATAAACCCACTGAAAGTACATTTCTGTTATCCATTTTCCGGAATTACCGATGATGG